TTTCAGCTTCCTTCCTCGACCGCCCTTTAGCAGTTTCAGTTTCTGGAAATCCATAACAGAGGTTTTCTTTCGCGCTCGAATTGTTTAAGCATGAAGAGCGGTAGCGGTGGTGTGCTAGAGTCAATCAACAGCTCATTTGCTTTTCCACTTGTTTGGTTCCAGATATGACGCGTGGCTTTTATGCAAAAGAAAAACGCATTTCAAGCTTAAACTATTTTTCAGTAACATGGAAGAAGAAAAAGAATACACTAAGAAACAACTAATTTAGCCGTAACAACTCCAGAGCAGTTATCCGAAAGAGTTTGAACTAAACAGGGGAGGCTCCACAAGCTTTTGAAACTCCATCTCACTATTTAAACCCAATTTGGCTAACCCGTCAGTTGCAAAATTACGCTCTCTATAAACATGTTGCGCATTACAACTCCAATTCTCTATGATCAAACTTCTGCACTCCGAGATAAGATCATAGAGCGGATGATTAATAAGGCTAGAAGAACCATGGATGAGAGAGACCACCACAGCAGAATACTAGAAACACAAAACATTACAATTGTGACATCCCACATCGTCCAGGTGAGTGATCCTTATATGTTTATTCTCATCCCTACCTAGCACAAGGCCTTTTGGGAGCTCACTGGCTTCGGGTTGCATGGGAACTCCGGAGTTAAGCGAGTAGTGTGCGAGAGCATTCCCAGGATGGGTGACCCATCGGGAAGTTCTCGTGTGAGTTTCCAGAAACAAAACTGTGAGGGCGTGGTTGGGGCCCAAAGCTGACAATATCGTGCTACGGTGGTGGAGCGGGCGCGAGAAGTGGTCCCCCCCAGGCTGGGATGTGACAATTTGGTATCAGAGCCTAACCCTGGCCGCGTGTGTGCCGACGAGGACGTCGGGCCCCTAAGGGGGGTGGATTGTGACATCCCACATCGTCCAAGGGAGTGATCCTTATATGTTTATTCTCATCCCTACTTAGCACGAGGCCTTTTGGGAGCTCACTGGCTTCGGGTTCCATGGGAACTCCGAAATTAAGCGAGTAGTGCGCGAAAGCATTCCCAGGATGGGTGACCCATCGGGAAGTTCTCGTGTGAGTTTCCAGAAACAAAACCGTGAGGGCGTGGTCGGGGCCCAAAGAGAACAATATTGTGCTATGGTGGTGGAGCGGGCCCGGGAAGTGGTCCCCCCAGGCCGGGATGTGACAACAATCAAGTACAAAATACATACAGTAGTAATACAGTTTAGAAACACAACACATTACAATCAAGTACAAAATACATACAGTAGTAATACAATTTTTCAGTATACTAGAAACACAATGTGTATAATAAATGTCACAATATAAGTGGTTGAATTTTTTTTTTTTTTAAAGTATGCAACAACCAGTAGACCTAAAAAAATAAAAACAATAAATGTACTAGTATGTTTAGTACAAGTGCTCTCATTTGAAAATAAGAAGCTTTTAAGAAAGAGTAAACTTTTTTTTTTTTGTCAAATAAGAAAGAGTAAACTTGATACAAGCAATTTTGTACGTAATTATTAGGTATAGTTTAATTTTACTTGATTATTGGGTTAGGTCCGTTGACTCATTGTTTACATCATCTTATTTTTATTATTGGGAATATCTTACACACTCTTTTCAATTCCGAACGTTAAGAATGACATTTTTGTAGTATTAACAACATATAACTCACAATATATATATATATATATATGTTAATATTTGTGTTTTTTTATTTGTTTTTATATATAAACGCTTTTGGTACCATACAATTCTTATTAAATTGCTTAATCTAAAGGCAAATCTTTAGTTTTTAGGATAATACAATACTTGCATCACCTACGAGAAATGCACATTTCACCCCTTGTGAATAAGGAAAGGTACGTTCATCGTTCAAATTTCATAACAATGTTCATTTTCTTAAACCTTTAGTTAAAGATTATTTCTACAATAACCACTGAATCGGAGATCTTCAATTTCGATCAGCTTAAGAAGATTCATGGTGTATTTAATCCAAGTGAGATGTACACCGGTTCGGTGAATGACGAACCTCAATGCCCAGAAAATAGTGTAGGCTAGGGAACCAAGATCTTTAATTCCAAATTCGCTACCAGGTACTTCAAATCAATAAAGGATGCCATCAGGAGAGGAGAGTGAGTACAATATCATCAACATTTAACTAAGAAAACAGTACAGGTTGCAACGAAATATAAAGGAGAAAGAATTAAGTCTCATGGTTCAGCAACAGATTCAATTGTTTCTATCTTCTTCCCTTCATCCATTGGTGTTGTGTTTGACGTTTCGGTTTTGGTGGTGATCTGATGCTCACTTTCTTCGTTAAATCTATCCACGCTGTGCAGAAAGATTCCTATAAACCATATTAGAGCTGCTGGAAAGAAAATAGACGTTAGAATAAGAGCGGTCGCCCTCCAGTTGTTAATGGCATCCTGGAGAACTCCGACAAGAGGCGCGGAAGGTACATCCCCGAAAAGGTGAATTGCAACTGTAGAAATCGCCATAGATAGTGGCCTCATGCTAGGTTTAACACAATGGAGACAAACGTAGTTTACAGGACCCTGAGTTGCAAAGACGAGTAGTTGGCCGATTGCAAAAAGAGCCAGGAAAGCATACAAATTCTTCATCCAGAAGGCACCTAAGCAAAAGGCACCCCCAATTAACGTTACCGATGAAAGAAGCTTGAAAGCATTAGAGATAGTGCCAGTCATATAATCCAGAAGAAAGCCTCCTCCTAGTGTGCCCAATATCCCGCACGCAATTGTGACACCTCCAAATATCATATCTGCATTACTCATATGATATATGTTATAACCAGCCTTAGGCCCCCAATATGAGTATGCACCTATGACAAAGTTATATGCTATGTAACCTAGAACATTCACAACATAAACCTTATCCCCCAAAAGCACCTTCATATCTTTCATAAACCTTGAAATTGGATTCACCTTTGAATTGGAAGGCTTTTGTATGGTAGAATCTCCGACGTCTTCCTTCATCGAAATACCTGAACCTTGAACTTCTTCAACTGCAGTTTCCACGGCTATCGGTGCTTTTTTTGATTCAGGATGAGAAAAACCTTTCATCTGCAAAGGCTTCATAACAAAAACTAGAATAGCAAATGGAAGCATAAGGATTGCCTCCCCAACAAATGCATAGCGCCACTTGGTGTGACTTCCAACCACCCCACCATAAACATAGCCAAGTGCATATCCACTTGATATGCACATGTAGAATATAGAAAGCCATGCAGTTTTCTGAGTAGCTGGGGCATTGTCGTCGATGAATGGAGCTGCAAGACTAATAAACGAAGCCTCGCCAACACCGACTAGCATGCGGAAAACAGCAATTGACCAGAAGCCGAATGAACAACCGCAGCCAAGTGTAGCAAAGGTCCAAACTGATAATCCAACTCCAATGAGCCTAAATGGATTTACACTCTTTGCTAATGATGCAAATATAGGAGAAGCAATAAGAAGTCCAGCCATAAAAGCTGATGACAGAACCCCATCTTGAAAGTTGTTCAAGTTAAATTCCCCTTGTATCCCGGTACCAGGCGTGCATACACCACTTTCTGTGCAAGTTTTGCGGCTCCCATTGACACCATTGCTTGCTATTGTTCCTCGGTCCACATAGTTTAACAAGTTAATCAAGCAAAAGATAACGAGTAGCCTCTTGGGCGTGAACCATGAAGGAGCTGCCGGAGCCGCCAGAGCTGCGGTTGAAGCAATAATCATGGATGTCTCCGTCGGGGACGGGGGCTTGGCTTCTTCAGAAGCCTTCGCTTCCTTTTGAGCCATAGAAGTAGAGTCAGAATGTACTTTTACTATTGAACTGAACGTGGTAATCCCTTTATATATACATCACTAGCTTTGGACTACAGGGAGGGATTAGGATTCCTAAATTAGGTCAAATTACAATTCTTGTGGAATAAGGAATTCTAACTAGGGTTTACTTCTCTCAAATGATGTCTTCTTGTTAACCGGAAGATATTAAGATCAACCACTTCAACCATTTCTTAGTGGCCAACCAAGAATATGCCTTTGCTTACTGAAAGAATGCTACTGGATTCACATAAGAATTCTCATCGAACCGGGTTAACCAATAATTAATATGCCCTTGATTCATTGTGCCAACAAATTATTCCAAACCTAATTCGTGAAAATTATTATTATTATTTTCATTTCAAACTTTAAACTAAAATAGAAAGTTGTAGTTGAAAATCAGAGTGACGAAGAGAAACCAATAAACCGAAGAACAAATCTAGCACAAATTAATAATAAAAAATGCTACTCTTACAATTTAGTTGTATCATAATTTGTACCATCTTTCTAATAAAAATGAAACTCACATGAGTTGGCGGGTCCTATCTTTATTAGAGAAACAGTACAAATGATAGTACAACTAGGTCGTAAGTGTAGCATTACTCATTAATAGTATACTAACTGAAAGAAATTGTCACGACAACTACATAACCCAAAAGACTACATTGTTAATGACAACGGCAACTTGTACAGCAAAGGTGATAGAAAAAACTCCTAATAACAATCTACAACGAATACATAATCCAAGAGACTACATTGTAAACCACTTATTTTTCAAAATAAATTACAAGATACATTTATAGCGACGTAAACTTAAGAAAACCTAATGTGTAAATACCAAAACTACCCTAATACAAATCAAATCAAATCTCTAATTAATTTCTTGAATAAACTAATAAATTTCAACAGTTGCTGCTCGTCCACTTCAATTTATATTTTATTTTGCACTATTTCACTGTTTGCCTTCCTCACTAGTAAGAAAGTGGAGATTAAGATATGTTGAGAACAAGAATACAAAGGTAGTCAGTGAAAAAAATTTGATGTTTCTTCGTAAAATCATTGATATTATAAGGTAGTCCAACTTCTCATAAGTTTATGCAAAATGTCTTCTCCCATCAATGTAAGATTCATTCTCACCTCACGCGTAGCAAATTTTCAAGTCTAACACGTGAACAACACAAATGAAGTATTATGCAACTATTTCTCAACAAAATTTAACATCTGACCAAGGAAAATTGAAAATACAACAAAATCCAACAAATCTTGGTGGTTACTCATCACACCACTTATGTCCTCTCACTAAACAATCAGATCGAAGGGGGAAAAATATGGAATTATAACAAAGCAGGGAAATTGCTAACAAAGATATCACATACAAAAAATTTACGCGTGTTTCTTCCTAACACGAAGACGACGACGACGACTCGAGATTATATGGCTACAGTACATCTCCTTTGATTATTCCGTCCTATGATGATGAAGTACCGAATCGTCCAAAAATCTGTGCATGGAAACCACCCATTCTTCAACTCGGACATCCACGACTCTAGAGCAAGAGACGCTCCCTTGGCTGAATTCAAAATAATGCTCCATCACTATTTTTTCCAGGTAAATAATGCTCAACCAGTCTACAGATGAGGCATCTAATCGGCTTAGTAAACATCCTGCCAGATTGAAAGTAAAAGAGCGGTGAGCGGTGAAAATCTTAGAGCACAAGCATTTCGAATCTGGCTATTTCAGTGTGAAGCAACATCTAATAAATGCCATAATTTCACAGCAGTCATTACCTCTACATTACGGATTTTGCTGGACTTGCCGGTGTACTTGTATTATCCAATCAACATAACCATTGCTTCCACCCATCTGCTCCTCGACAAGATTGGCGAGTATAAGATGGCCTTCTCGGGGCTGCTCACCTTGTCTTACAAGATGACACAACTGGTAATATGACGGATCACTTTCTCTAAGTTTCTTTAGTATCCTCATTAGCTTCTTTGACATTTCATTATCGTGCTCACGAAGGGTAACCTGATCAGCCAAAACAATAAGAATACAGTAAACGAGAGTACTAAACAATGCCAGTTCAACAAGTTACAAGATAAAAAAAAATCAGAAAAAGAGGGGAAGAAGCAAAGAATTCTTGGGCCAACGTTAGAAACTTCAAGAAAGGTTTGGACTACAAAGATCTCTCCAACAATATCTAAACCAAAGGCTGATCACAGAATAAGAATCCAATACAGTTCTTACGTAAAACCATAGGGCTAGTACTGGGTCATCCAAATGATAAAAGAAAAGAATGTGATATGCTAAAGTCATATAAACTACGGAAGGAAAAGAGGGGCATTCTCAAGGCTGTTTGGGAAACATTTTAGTCAGCGGTGCATAAGCCAGCCATATTGACAATTATATGTTTCTTATAACAGTCTTCTCTAATAGGGAGCTCGGGTGCATTTGAATTCCAGCATAATGCAGCAGGGACGGAGATTAAGAAATTAAACTTCAGATATCTTATATAAAACATGCATTGAAATCACAAAACAAAGAATACACAGAAAGTAATGATGAATGTTTAGACATGATACTTCTTTTGTTCTACTTTGTCTTTATGGGGCTTTATCATACCTTTGATAACTCTGCTGCAAAGTCAGGCCCAAGTAGATTCTTAGCTATATCAGGTGGAAGAACTCTACCAAACCATAGAACATAGCGAAACCCATCATCAAATATATAAAGGCCTCTGAAATCTAAGCTCTCACCAAGTAATGGTAACCTATTCTCTATGATTTTGACGTCATCAGCTTCAGAAGATGCCTACAAATACAAGAAGCAGAAACAAATTTAACGATTGTGAAATGACATCACTCAAGTTTTAACTTTTAAGTGAATGGAATTATATTACCTTCAAAAGATACTCATCGAGCCGTATTAAACTAGGATATAGGAGCTTCAACAATTTTTTAACTGGTAAGGTCATCATTGTGTGCCCTGCCGCACAACGTTCATCAAGTGACACGTCTGCATACCCCCCACGAAGAGGTGCTGATTTACAAAGTGCCAATCCATACAAAGGCAAGAACTTCAGAGACTCTGAGTATATCATCTTCCCTCCTAAGCGGTGTTGTACAGCATAGAGATTTCGAAATTCTTTGAGGGCTTTGACAATTCTTAGCTGCAAAGAGTTCCGAGCATCTTCCAACTTATGGGACAAAGTTTTCTCAATTGCTGCAATTTGATTCAGAAAAATAAGAACCACTGATATTCAAAACATACCACATTACTAACATAGAGTTTCAGTTACCCATACTAACACAGAGTTTCAGTTACCCACCTAGCCTGGAAAGCAAGGTGACAATGGCACCAGTATCAGCCTGCCGATACATCTCAGACAGATCTGTAACCACCGGTACTGCTGCTGTATGTACTCTAATACGCCTCTCTCCGCAGGATGCAGTGTATCTTTAAACGTTAAGGACACTTCACCATCAATAACCTTACAAATATCATTACGAAATTTCCCCCAGCACAACTTAAACTAGAGAGTATGTGTGAATAATCAAAGTATAAAGAATGAAACAACTTTATTATGCAACTGAAAAGAAAACTTAGGAAAAAGAATATCAGAAGGAAATGATTTGTGAATAATCAAAAGAAAAACAAGCACCACAATACCATACGGGATGTCTATCTGTAGATAAAACTTAAAATCGAACATTAAGCGGAAGGATACAGCAAGGCAACTTGGAAATATACTGTCTGAATAGTCAGTAGCGTCTCTTCAAGAGATAACTGCATCGCAAATGCTTTATCACAATCTACAGCAGGAAGTGCTAATAAGTCTGTGGACCTTAGCATAAAGTTCCCATGATAAGACGTAAAGCGCACTCCTAGAAGTACAAACAAAAAAACATTAGCATGTTTCCGAGCACAGGCAAAATAACATATTTATGTGAGCACAATGGGGTTGTTCTGGAGAATCATCAATGGCAGACCTTTTCCACATCTTATGCGCATCACTGCTTCCCAGGCAGTTTCCCTAGTAAGATCTCTTGCTAATTCATGTTTCAACTTATATCCGTGAATGGTAGATTGAAAATTTGGGTAATAATACACCTGACCCCCAGTATATTTTGCCAGAGTACCTACATTTGGAAGACCATAGCAGTTATACACTATACAACTTTTAGCTGTACAATAAATATAGTTCACGGGAGAGTATACAACACAATAACCATCACACCCTGATATGGGTCTATTAATAGCTGCTGGAAACAAGAACTACAAACAAGATAGTAAAAGTTTCAAATATGTCAATTCAGATTCTTTCTTCAAAAATGTTCACTACAGGGAAGAAACACTACAATATTCTAGGAGAACAGTTAATGCAATAAATTGGAGAAAACCATTGCTAAAGCATATTTCCCCACAAGGGCAACAACTACAAAATTGGTGGATAATATAAGAGTTCTCAACATATTAATGTAGAGAAGTATCATCAGAAGATCCTACTATCTGTCAACATCATCTTGATCTTTGGTTCTACGAAAGTGAAACAGAATATGATTAAACTATAAACATGTACCTAATGAAGCTATATCCGTGTACTTGTCACTGAAGGCATATACATCCACCCCTATCTGGAACTTGGTAAATTCTGCAGCCATCTGCTTGTAGAAAGGATCCTCTGGTAGTCTTAGTGGATGCTCTTTATCAGAGCCATAGACACGAAGATCATCTCCACGCAATTTCAAGCGACCAACACCAAGAGATGGCAGTGTATTTTGAAAAATTAACAATTTTCCCCCAAGGTTGCTCTGCAAAAGCACACGTGTGGACATAAGTTAATGCAAAGTAAATGAACGACCAGACTCTTGGAACTGCATAATGAACTACTTAATAGCCAATTACTCAAGGAATAAAAAACTTAACACACTGCTTTTATAATTGGTGATAAATTTGATCCAAATGTAAGATTCAAATTGCTATGTGTGAAAAAAGCTCACACACCATAAGCATAAGCGAGGCCTTAAGAGCTGGACCAAAAGCAGACTCCACATTCACGTTGTCTTGAAACATAGACGGCAAGCTATCTAGGAAGCTCTCCACTACGCTTCTTGATTCAGAGAGATTAACAAGAAGATCATCTGGCAATGGAATAAATACATCATCTAGATCTGAGACCACCATCATTTGAGGCTGAGTCAAAGAAGACTGCACATAAAACTCACAGGATCTCAGCACAAATGTTGGTAGTCGGAAAAAAAGAAAGAAAAGAAAATAACAAATTATGTTAACACTTAACAATGATAACAGAAAACACATACTTTCATGTTATAAAAATGTATTGTGCTGTCAAAAGTTGCAAACCCAATTTGTGTTCTGGGGAAGCCAGGAAGCTCATCCAAGCATGACCGGATAGTTTGGGCCACAACCTGCAAAGAGGTCATCAATAAATTTCAATAATTCCAACAGAGAGGCAAACGGACCTTTGGTAGTAGGTAATCAAAGATGTAATAAAAACAACTCAAATGAAAAGACATCCCAACCATCCATGAGACTAACACTATTAAAAGTCCTTGCATGAACTATTTCATAAACAAGAGAAGTTCATCTCAGAAGAACCCATTCTATCAGTGCCATGTATGAGAAAATTCCCAAAGTTAGGCATCTGAGCCAGCCTACTTTATCTTTTTCACAAAATAAAACCAGACACAGCATACCAGATATGATATTGTTTATTAATAAATCGTCTTTCATCCTAATCTGAATCCAAGAGCCTCTGACACTATACTCTCCAGGGCACCCAAGAACAATATACACTAGCACTACTGGGTGATCAATAAACCATGCAAATACTCCCAAGGGTCTGTAGTTGTATATTAGCAATAAATCATAAACCAACAGGTTTCAGAATACAAGGTTGAGTTTCTGTAAAAGCATTAGAAAAAGTATTTACCTCAATCATACCACTTCTGACAGCAGACATCGAAACGTCAATGAGGAAAAAATACAGTGGCGGCATAGGAGGCCGGACCATATATTCAGTTGGAGCAACAAATTCCACACTACCCTGTGTAAGCTCAGGTCGTTGATCCAAATCAATTCTTCTGCCAATGGCATCCAAATGAGCAAAGTAATCCCCAGGGACTGAACAAGAAAGTAAATACATTTTATCACTCAGTGCTTGACCAGAAATATTAAATAAGGTATATTTTCCCAGAATTAAACAACATCCCACTGCTCTGGTTAATTTTAGTAACCTAAAACAAGTACTATCTAGCAAGAAAACTTGATTGCATTCAGGTAAAACCAGGATTAACAATAAAGCAAAGCTGCTGTATATTCATCATGATATTAGAAACTTCGGTGCACTAGGGGAAATTACTGAGAGTTAGAAAATACAAAAAAAGTACTCTAGCATGACAGGTTGCAATTGTAGAAAATATCTGCGTTATGAAATAAAAAATGAAATAATAACTACATTTTTTTTTTTTTTTTTTTTGGAGAACATAATAACTACATTTTGGACTATAAGGCAAGCAGCAATATTCCATACATATATTGCAGAATATATTACAGAAATCCTATTTGGGGAAGTATAACTAACAAACATGAATAAAATATAAGGCAAACTCAGCTGCTTAATGCTGCCCAACATGAAGAAGCATGAAGTTGAACATAGGGAAATTTTGAGTCAACATTCTGTATCCTTCCATAAATTGGTTTATAATAACAAGTTAAATTTATTCTCTTAGGGGAAAAGAGAAGAGCTGGTCCATTTACCATCATTAAGTAAAGCACAAATGTTGCAACGCCACTTTCTTCCAGCATCTGTAAATGTCACATAGGGGTTCACATACGTCCGACATCTTCTACAGCGAATAATGCCGGCCGAACCAAAATTAACAATTGGAACTTCCTCCTAGATAGAGAACACAGAACAAGATAATTACAGCGAATCCAACTTCAATCAATTTTGATCATTTTGAATGTTTGAGTATAGATGCACTAACCCCATCAGGTGGTTCAGCAAGTGGACAAACAACTGCTCCCAAAGGTAAATGCCACCTTGAAGACAAAGACTGAGAACTTGGTATTGCAACAGTTGTAAGCCGTAGAAATCTAGGATTGCAATTCATGGGGTACATCTGAGCAAGTGATGTTGGCTCCACGTCACCAGCCAAAGGCCTTGGCAAAGCTTTAGGGTCGAGTCCAGGTTCAATTGATCCGGGAACAGATCCAATAGATAGTGCGCTGAAGTCGTCTGTCAAGGCTTGGACGGCACCAACGGGAGGTCCAGAACCATGATGTTGCATGTGGTCCCTTGACATACCCAATGGAGCTGCACCTTGCGTAGGTGGAGCATAACCTCCTTGGTGAGCTGCAAAAGGAGAGGACACTGCTGGTGGAGCAGCTGCATAGCTTCCTTGATGAGTAAGAAATGGAGACTGAGCAGGTGGGGCTAGTGAATCTGCACTAGACTGCTTACGGGGAAATCCAGGAAGAGATGTCTGAGCATTTGGTAGGGAAGCTGGGAATGATGAATCTGATGGAGACTGAAAAGCATTCACACTTGGTGGTGCAGAATTAATGCTTTGAGGTGGAGGTCCCATTGGCACAGAAGGTATCTGCTGTTGTGGTCGTTGAAATGGTGCTTGACCAGGAGGAAGTTGAAACGGCATTTGGCCTACAGGTGGACCACGTGCAGTTGGTGCTTGCGCTGCTGGTGGATATTGTGGTGTTGGGAAACGGGAGTAAGGTCCAACACTCGGCGGGACACTTGAAGTTGGTGGAGGAGGCACAGATGGATCATGAAACCTACTTGGCAGTGTAGGCCTAAAAGGAGAGGCTTGTGGTCCAACTGCAGACCCAGATGATGAGAACGGCACATTAGTCTGTGGAGGAACTGATGGAGTAGGTCTGAAGTTAGAGGCATCTGGTCCAACCACAGGCCCAGACGATGAAAAAGGTGTCTGTTGCGTGACAGGTGGAGGAGGTCTAAAACCATATGCCTCCTGTCCACCCATGGGACCTGAAGATGAAAAAGGCATCATGTTTTGAGGAGGAGCCGCAAAAGGTGCAGTGGCAGGTCTTGCAGTAAAATTCGGACGACTAGGGTTTTCAGTCCCCATAACTTTGGTTACAAACACCTGCTAATTCAGTAGAAACAATGCTCTCATGACCTAGACCTGCTCCTACAGCCAAGAGAAGAGGTTTGAGTTATCATCCAAGAAGGACCAATATGTCACTACATCACAGCTTAGACACTCACAGTATTACAGTATGGAATCATACAAACACAAAGACACACATTTAAATTACTTTTTTTTTTCTGCATCAAACATAACAAAGAAACCGATGGAATAAGCAAATAATGTACTCGAAAATAGATCAAACCCTCTATGTCAACACTAAGCTCATCTAGTCTCACAAAATTAATAGAGCAGCCCGAGCAAGAATGTCAGATTAAATCCTTAATCTAGCATTTTTAATATTTGACTACACCCAAGCACCACTAGCAATTCATTTAAAATTCCAGTAGCAATCCTAAGCTAGACCAGTTAACAAGGTCAAAACTCATAAACCACCCAATCCTAACTCTTAACTCCTAAGGTTTACCTCTCACATGATCGAATCGTATACGGTGCACAATGGAACACGATATACCATTACTAATTAATTTATAACCAATTAAGGAACAAACATGGCTCAACAAGATGTGATTAATTAAGCATAATTTAGCACTAAAATAATAACTTCATGATTGCTGATACTAAAAACCATAATCCCACAACCCAAAAACTAATTACAACAAAGAGAGTGCATAATTTAGCATGCATACAGAAACAGAGTAGCAGATCTTAATCGGAAAAAATCGAAAGAAAAGCACTACCCAAATCGCAAATTTGCAACATCTACATGGATCAAGAAAACCCAGACGAAAATTAGAGCCAAATTCGTGAGCCCGATGGACATCGAATGCAAAACCCAATGAAAAAACAGACCCGACTGAGATTGGGAGTTGAATTTTGGAAAATTTTTTAGACCAAAAGCGGGGAAAAGTGAATTATATTGGACGAACCGAGATGAAGGACTAGTTGTTGGGTTGATTTAATCGCAGAGCGGCAAATCGAGATTCAGAGAGAGAGAGAGAGAGGAGGAAGCTTACCTTTGCTTCCGCCGGAGGAGAGAGAGTCTAGAGAGAGATTGAAATATGAGCAAGATGAGAGAGAGACTATTACCGGGCTAATCATTTTTCATCGACTTCTACGATGTCGTTTTGTTCTTGTATGATTAGGCCCAATAAATGTTCGGATTTAGAACCCAAAACTCGTTGGGTCGGGTCAGTCTATGATTCTATTTTCATTTTTCAATATTTTCAATTCTAAAGTCGTTCGTTTTAAACAAAAAGATCTTAAATGAAAATTTAAAAAGATAAAAATAAATAAAAGTACTAAGGTTTTAATGAAATTCATGAAAAAAATCATTGCAACGGCAGCTGTCAAATACATTTAATAATTCTAATAGATTTGATCCAATGTATCATAAATTTTTTAATTATTCCAAATATTTGATTTGTTGTCTTAATAAATGGGCCACACAAAGAGATTAATTTTTTTTTCATAGAATTACACCATATTTAACATATCGGATGAATAAAAAAAATTTACAAAATGTAAAACTGCGACATAAACAATCAAATATCATTTTAATATTTTAAATTTAACATTTACTTTAGAAATGCTATAATTCAGCTAGGAAAGAGATCGTTTCCGGATCTCTTCCACCAAGACTTCTGGATCAAGTGATCTAGATCCTTAAAATTTGATTCAACGGCTAAAAACAAAGGTTCCTTTTAAAAGTGATAATAATTTTAGCCGTTTGATCAAATTTCAAAGGTCCATATCACTTGATCTGGGAGCCTTGGTAGAACTAAAGTTCGGAAATCATTACTCCAATTACCTCAATAAAAAAATATTAACTTGCTTAGGTGGAAATTATTTTGTCCAGCTCAACTTCTGCAAGACCAAAAATATGAACAGAAAGTGAAAATCAGGTCACCATTCATTAAACCATCGTCATCCCTCTCCCTCTCTCTCTCTCTCTCTGTTTCCATCTCTCAATTATTATTAGTTCTTCTATTGATCCTTTCTAAACCTCTCATTTCGATCCAAATCCATCCTCCATTTCCCCCCAAAACCAGCTTCACTTTTCTGTTTTGGCACCAGTTATAGAGACCCAATTGGCAAACGAGTCCTCCATTGAATCATCCACCCGAAGCTGGTAAAGTTCAAGTTTTCAATCAATTCATGTAACTGGGTCTTGCTTTTTTCCTTCAAATTTTGAGGATTTGATATCCAAGCAGCTGGCTTTAGCTTCCGTCAATCCGATGATTATGTTTAGATTCTGCATCGAAAATTACAAAAAATTGAAATTCTATCAGTAAATGGATGTTGTTTGTTTCTTCAGATTCTGAAACTTTGAGAAGAAAATTTAGCAACTTGGAAATAATTTTGTTAATTACGTATTGGAAATGGTTTTTAGCAGGTCAGGCATTACGAATCAAGCTGGGAGCTTCATTTGGGAGATTGAGAAATTAGCTGGGAACAAGTTTTCGAAATCTTTTCGATCCATCGCTAAGTAAGTACTTAAACAAGTTTTCGATTTCAATGGTTTTGTTGTTAATTTTTTTATGGTTAGAAGTTAACTTGTATTGATATTGTTGACTGCTCCAGATGGGATCCTCTGTTTTTTTTTTTTTTTTTTTTGGTGTGTGATACTCTGTTTCATTCAAACTTTAGGTATGAAAGTGGGACGAAAGATTGAAATTTCACTGTTCTTGAAGGTCGTAGTGAGAATTATCCAAAAGATTAATTTTTTTGAGTTTTAGTGGAAAAGGACGGTTAACAATATACAATTTCGTAGTGCTCTTTGAGCTTAAATCTCAATGTAGGTAATAAATTTTGATGCCAAGTTCTCTAGAGTGAGTGATATTTGGATTTTACATGTGCTGGTGTTAGTATGTTCTACTGGTATACTATATGAAGGAAAGCTAAATCAAGAAAAGTTTTCAGGTCAACTTTTCACTATGTGGATAGCAGGAAGCGAACTGATAAACATTTGTTATTTCTCACAGTTTCTGCTGATCAGCACACTCAGCAGGAGCAGGCTGAATTTCCAAGGTTGTACAATCTATATCTGAAGTGTCGTCAATGGCTGAGCAACGTAAGGGTAATGTCAAACCTGCAAATGGGAAGCCATCAGCAACCGCCACAGCAACCGGCAGTGCATATTCCATTGATCTCAATAACTTCAGCAAGCGGTTAAAGATGATGTATTTGCATTGGAGGGAACATCGTAGTGATCTATGGGGTGAATCTGATGCACTTGCAATAGCAACTCCTCCAACTTCTGAGGATCTGCGGTATCTGAAATCCTCCGCAATGAATATCTGGTTGCTCGGTTATGAGTTCCCAGAAACTATCATGGTTTTCTCAAAGAAGCAGATCCATGTTTTGTGTAGCCAGAAAAAGGCTTCTCTCCTTGATGTTGTGATAAAGCCTGCAAAAGAGGCTGTTGGTGTTGAAGTTGTGATGCATGTAAAACTCAAAGGCCAGGATGGAACTGGACTGATGGATAGCATATTTAGAGCTATAAATGCCCACTCGAGCTCCGATGCTCCTGTTGTTGGACACATAGCAAGAGAGGCTCCTGAAGGGAAGCTTTTGGAGACTTGGAGTGAGAAGTTGAAGAATGCTAATTTTGAGTTGAGTGATGTGACCAATGGGTTCTCTGACTTGTTTGCCGTCAAAGACCTGGTTGAGCTTACATATGTGAAGAAAGCGGCGTACTTGACTTCATCGGTGATGAAGACATTTGTGGTACCTAAGCTTGAGAAGGTCATTGATGAGGAAAAGAAAATTTCCCATTCTTCATTGATGGATGAAACGGAAAAGGTCATATTGGAGCCTGCAAGAATTAAGGTGAAGCTGACAGCAGCAAATGTTGATATTTGCTATCCTCCAATTTTTCAGAGTGGAGGAGAATTTGATCTGAAGCCAAGTGCTTCAAGCAATGATGAGAACCTTTGTTATGACTCTACTAGTGTGATTATATGTGCTGTTGGATCAAGGTATAAAAGCTACTGCTCAAATATTGCTCGAACCTATCTGATTGATGCAAATTCTATGCAGAGCAAGGCATATGAGGTTCTGCTTAAAGCTCAAGAAACTGCAATCGGTAATTTAAAATCTGGGAAGAAGTTAAGTGCTGCATACCAAGCTGCACTCTCAGTAGTTGAAAAGGAGGCTCCAGAGCTGACTGGAAACTTGACCAAAACAGCTGGAACTGGAATTGGCCTTGAATTTCGTGAGTCGGGGCTTAATCTTAATGCTAAGAATGATCGAGTTTTGAGACCAGGCATGGTTTTCAACGTTTCTCTGGGTTTCCAGAACGTGCAGGCAAAGACAAAAGACCCTAAGACCCAGATATTTTCACTGTTAATAGCAGATACAGTTATTGTTGGTAAAGAGACCCCAGAAGTATTGACTAATTCAAGCAAAGCTGTTAAGGATGTGGCATACTCATTCAATGATGACGATGATGAAGAAGAAGAGCGTGCAAAACCTAGATCCAGTAGTAAAGGTGCCAGGAGTGCCATGAGTAAGGCCACACTTAGATCAGACAACCATGAAATGTCTAAAGAAGAGCTACGAAGGCAGCACCAAGCCGAACTTGCCCGCCAAAAGAATGAAGAAACTGCTAGAAGGCTTGCTGGTGGGGGTTCTACAGCTAACGATAATCGTGGTGCTGGGAAGACGGTTGGTGATCTGATTGCATATAAGAATGTCAATGATCTGCCTGCTCCAAAAGAGTTGATGATTCAGGTTGACCAGAGGAATGAAGCTATCCTCTTGCCGGTTTATGGAAACATGATTCCTTTCCACATAGCCACTGTGAAGAGTGTTTCCAGCCAGCAGGACACTAACCGGAATTGCTACATCCGTATAATCTTTAATGTACCTGGTACCCCATTTAGCCCTCATGATGCAAACACCCTGAAGTTTCAAGGGTCAATTTATTTAAAGGAAGTTTCATTCCGTTCCAAGGACCCAAGGCATATAAGTGAAGTAGTACAGCAAATTAAAACTCTTCGCAGACAGGTTGCCTCAAGGGAGTCTGAAAGAGCTGAAAGGGCAACTTTAGTCACACAGGAGAAGCTGCAAATTTCAGGAGCCAAATTCAAGCCAAAAAGATTGCCAGACCTATGGATTCGTCCTGTTTTTGGGGGTCGTGGAAGAAAGCTCACTGGATCACTGGAAGCCCACGCAAATGGGTTCCGGTATTCTACTTCAAGGTCTGAAGAACGTGTCGATGTTATGTTTAGCAATATCAAACATGCATTTTTCCAGCCAGCTGAGAAGGAAATGATTACCCTGCTGCACTTTCATCTGCACGATCATATTATGGTAGGAAACAAAAAGACCAAGGACGTGCAATTTTATGCGGAGGTGATGGATGTAGTGCAGACACTGGGAGGTGGAAGGAGGTCAAACTTTGATCCTGATGAGATCGAGGAAGAGCAACGTGAAAGGGAAAGAAAGAACAAAATTAATATGGAGTTCCAGAACTTTGTGAACCGAGTAAATGATTCGTGGGGGCAACCTCCATTCAAATCACTTGATCTTGAGTTTGATCAGCCCCTTAGGGAGCTTGGCTTCCATGGAGTACCTCATAAAGCCTCAGCTTACATTGTCCCAACTTCAAGCTGTCTGGTTGAGCTGATAGAGACACCTTTTGTGGTAATTACTCTGAGCGAGATTGAAATAGTAAACCTTGAGAGAGTTGGTTTAGGGCAAAAGAACTTTGATTTGACTGTTGTTTTCAAGGACTTCAAGCGAGATGTCTTCCGAATTGATTCCATTCCCTCGACATCACTAGATGGCATTAAGGAGTGGTTAGACACAACTGATCTCAAGTATTATGAGAGTAGGTTGAATCTCAACTGGCGTCCTATTCTCAAAACCATTACTGACGACCCTGAGAAGTTCATAGAGGATGGTGGATGGGAATTTTTGAACATGGACATTAGTGATTCGGATTCTGACAATTCTCAGGAGTCTGACCGTGGGTATGTGCCTTCAGATGTGCAGTCGGATTCAGGTTCAGACGAGGAGGATGATGACAGCGAGTCATTAGTGGAGTCGGAAGATGATGAGGAAGAAGAATCCGGAGAAGACTCAGAAGAGGCCGAAGGAAAGACATGGGAAGAGTTGGAGAGAGAAGCAAGCCACGCAGACAGGGAAAAAGGGAATGCGTCTGACAGTGAAGAGGAGAGGGCCAGAAGGAAGGTCAAGGCTTTTGGAAAGGCTCGAGTACCCGACAAGAGGAACCTTGGTGGCAGCCTTCCCAAGAGGCCAAAATTTAGGTGACATTGTTTTTGTCTTCAGTTTTTTAAGTTTTGCAGCAGCTTAAGCAGCAGCATTAGATTGGATTGTGTGTTTTATTTTTAAGATGTTAAGAACAAGTGAAGAGTTACCAAAAGGGGAAGCGGAAGGTAAAGGGAAAGAATGCATCCGACACAACACCAAAATGAATATCCCTTGACGGATGCATGCAAGGCTTGGTTTAGTTGTATCAGGGTAAGGAATGAATATGCATTTGAACTTGTACTTGAACGAATGGACGGATGAATTTGGATTTGGGTATATGAATTGATGGTTGGATTTTGGTATGAATCGTTAACCATTGCATTTCAAGAACCAGCATTTTACTTGAGTGCTTACTAAGCGACTCTTAAGCTGCTTCTGCATCTCCACAGTTCATGTAACTATTGATCATCGCCCCTTCGTTCCAACGAATAACATCGTTCGATTCTCCTCTGCTTCCTGCAGAACCTCAGAAACTGCATACATTTGAATGCACGTGGATAAGGAATGGTGGACGTCGGAACCACACAAAAATGAGTATCCCTTGAATGTATGCAAAACGATATTCTAATCTCCAAGGAGGGGGACTCGAACTCGGGAAAAACAAACCAGCGTACCGCATTTAACCAACTAGCCTAACTCGCATCAACATGTATGCAAGAACAATACGTTGTTGCGAAAAGTTCATTCGCTTTTTTGGAAGACAAAGTACAGAACGACGATAAAGCTCTCACTTCCAGCAAGGATACTGATAATACTACCAATTTACAACTCTGCATCTGCAACATAAGTCTGTAGTTCAAAAAGACAACGAAACTACTTAAAACCGAAGTAAAATTATAAGTTCCAAGCTACTACCGTCAGAGAACCACTTAAAACATAACGTGTGACTGACATGAAACAATCGCACGATCTATCTCATCTTAGTCCGCTTCGATATGCTACTAGGAGGTGGGGCTCGAGACTTCCCAAAAGCTTTCGTCTTCCTTCTCTTCCTGTCCTCCTCACTGTCATATTCGTTCCCTTTCTCCCTATCTGCATTGCTTGCTTCCCTCTCTAGCTCATCCCACGATAACCCATCCTCATCTGACTCTGCTTCTCCGTCGTCATCCTCAGACTCCACAACCGACTCACTATCAGAATCCTCATCGTCTGATTCTTCCGATTCAGCAGATTCTATATCCGATGGTTCATAACCCTGGTCTGACTCCTCCGACTGTTCAGACTCTGAATCAGACGCTTCCAAATTCAAAAATTCCCAACCTCCATCATCAATGAAGCTCTGCGGGTCATCAGTGATTGTCTTCAGTATCTGTTTCCAGTTCAGATTCAGCCTGCTCTCATAATACTTGAGGTCAGTTGTGTCGAGCCATTCCTTGATACCATCAAGCGCTGTTGAAGGGATTGAATCAATCCGGAGAACGTCCCTTTTGAAGTCCTTGAATACAATTGTCATGTCAAAATTCTTCTGCCCAAGGCCAACTCTTTCCAGATTCACAATCTCAATCTCACTTAGACTGACAACAAGGAAAGGAGTTTCTATCAGTTCAACCAAGCAGGCTGAAGTAGGGACAATAAATGCCGAGGATTTATGAGGCACACCATGGAAACCAAGCTCTCTCAGAGGTTGATCAAACTCAAGGTCCCTAAACTGTGACTGCCCCCAAAGCTCATTAACCCGATTCACAAAGCTCTGAAAATTCATATTGACTTTGTTTTTCCTATCCCTCTCCCGCTGCTCTTCTTCAATCTCATCTGGATCATAGGCAGACCTCCTGCTTCCTCCCAATGTCTGAACTGTGTCCATCACCTCAACATAGAATTGCACGTTTTTCGTTTTCTTGTTGCCCACCATGATGTCATTGTGCAGATGAAAGTGCAGGAGCGTGATCATTTCATTCTCTGCTGGCTGGAAAAAGGCATGCTTAATATTTGCAAACATGACATCCAGGCGCTCCTCTTGCCTGGTGGTAGAATAACGAAACCCATTTGCATGAGCTTCAAGAGTACCAGGAATCTTTCTTCCACGGCCACCAAAAACAGGTCTAATCCAAAGGTCAGACAATCTTATTGGCTTAAATCTGTTACCCGCTATTTGGAGTTTCTCCTGAGTAACCAGTGTCGCCTTCTCAGCTATCAAGGACTCCCTGGATACAACTTGCCTTCGCAGCCCTTTAATCGCCTGTACCACTTCACTTATGTGCCTTGGATCCTTGGAGCGAAATGAAACTTCTTTTAAATATATAGACCCAAGGTTTTTCAGTGAGTTGGCATCATGAGGACTGAAAGGAGTCCCAGGGACATTAAACATGATTCTGATATAACAGTTCCGATTGGTGTCCTGTTGACTGGAAACTGTCCTTATGGTGGCAACATGAAAAGGGATCATACTGCCATAAATAGGCAACAGAACAGCTTCATTCTTCTGGTCAATCTGAATCATCAGTTGATTTAGACCTTTTGGAGGAACAACATCGTTTACATTCTTGTAGGCAACTAAATCCGTTAAAGCCTTTGCTGCAGAACGATTGTCACCCGACCCAGATCCACCACCAGCAAGTCTGCGGGCAGTTTCTTCATTTTTCTGACGGGCAAGTTCTGCCTGATGTTGCCTGCGGAGTTCCTCCTTCGAAATCTCATGATTGTCTGACCTCAGTGTTGTCTTAGACAATAAGGCCTCCTTTCCATTAGCCTCACCTTTTGGTTTTTTTGGCTCTTCAGCTTCCTCTTCATCTCCATCATTAAAGGAGTACGCCACATCCTGAAGATTCTTAGAGCTTCTACTTGTCACCACCTCTGGCTTGTCATTGCCGATAACCACAGTGTCCGCAAGCAACAAAGCATAGTTCTGGTTTTTGGGATTACTGCGACCACTCTGTAAGTTCTGAAACCCAAGCGACACATTAAAGACCATGCCTGCTTTCACCAACCGCTCATTCTTTGCATTTATATTCAACCCAGATTCACGGAACTCAAGGCCAATACCAGTCCCAGCCGATTTTGTCAAATTTGATACAAATTCAGGAGCCTCCTTCTCCACCACAGCAAGGGCAGCTTGATAAGCATCACTGACCTTTTTCCCAGGCTTCAACTCACTAATGGCTGCATTATGGGCCTTGAAGAGAACTTCATATGCCTTACTCTGACTGGAAGTAGCATCAATCAAAAAGGACCTGGCAATATTTGAGCAGTAACTCTTGTAGCGGGACCCAACTGCACATATGATCGCACTAGCAGAATCATAATAAAGCAACTCATCATTGCTAGCAGCACTGGGTCTGAGATCAAACTGTCCTCCACTCTGAAATATTGGGGGGTAACATATATCAACATTATCAGCCCGGAGCTTCACTTTAGCTTTAGAGGGTTCCATTATAGCCTTCTCTGCCTCATCCATCAAAGAAGAATGGGTGACTTTCTTCTCCTCATCAATAACAGTCTCAAGTTTTTTTACAACTACTTCGGTCATGACACTAGCAGACAAGACAGCAGCTCTCTTGATATTCAAAATCTCTTCATTGTCCTTAACAGCAAACAGGTCAGACAACCCATTTGTTACATCGCCCAACTGAAAATTTGCATCCTCAAGTTTCTTGGACCATGATTCCAAGAGGTTTCCCTCAGGGGCCTCCCTTGCAATATGTCCAACAACAGCTGTGTCATGGCCATCAGCCTTCGACTGAGCACGAATGGCACGGAAAATTGCCTCCATCAGACCACTTCCATCATCACTCCTTGTCTTCTCATGCATCACAACATCAACACCCACAGCTTCCTTGGCAGACTTTTTTACAACTTCCAGCAAAGACACCTTCTTCGCACTGCACAGGAAATGAATCTGCTTCTTCATGAAAACCATAATGGTCTCCGGAAACTCATAACCCACCAACCAAATATTCAATGCTGAAGATTTAAGGTACCGCAGATCTTCTGATGCTTTTGGTGTCGCTATTGCAACAACATCAGAAGAGCCCCACAAATCAGATCGATGTTCATTCCAATGAGAATAAAGTAACTTCAACCTCTCACTGAATACTTTCAAATCAATATTATAGGCACTTCCTGCTCCGGCGGCAGTCTTCCCATTAGCGGGCTGGCTATTTCCATGTCGACGATCAGCCATTACAAACAGTTTCTACAATTGACAAACATCAACTAATCACTTTCGGCCAATTAAATATACTTTTTAAATCAAGAACAAAATTTACACTTTCTCAATATTAAAAAATAATTTCTTTTTTGAACAATCAAAACCCTAAAAATCAAAATGGTCAATTAGGGTTTCGCACAAGTTCGTATTATTAGGATTTCGAGACGCCATCTTCACTCATAGAAAGCTAAATTATATCTGGAAAAACCCAGAAAATCATCATCTCCCAACCCCCTCACTTTCCAATCACAAGTCCCCAGCTCGATAACCAAATTAGGGTTCCTATTCCCTCCCCCAAACATACAAAAATCTTCAAAAATTACTAAATTAATCGACCAACAGCGATACAGAAACCGAAACCGTACCTTTCCGAACCTTCAGGGACGGGCTTCTGCAAACTTCTGCGGCTCCGCAATGTCGAATAGGGTTTCGGTTTGGGGCTCTAGGGCCTGGCGGCCACAAGTGCCCGATACATCAACCAAAACACAAATTTATATGGAGAGAGAGAGAGAGAGCGAGAGCGGGAGAGAGAAAACCTAGGGTTTCGAAGCGAGGGATGAGAGAGAAAGAGGGAGAATTCGAAGGGAGAACGAGAGAGAAATGGAAAAATGAAAAATCGCAGAGATGGTTTTCTTCGAATCGGAGAGAGCTCTGGAGTGGAGCGGTTGGTTTAAAGGAGCTGATTTTTCTTTGAGACGAAAAAGGACTGAGGATTGTGACGTATTACTTCCCCGTTTGGGTGGTTTCTGTGGTCATTGTGATTTTTTACGAGGGTATTTTCGGGGATTGAGTCTTGTTCTGTCAGGGTGAGGGATTTTGCATACGACGGCGTCGTTTGGTTGAGAGGGAAAAAGAAGCTGGTGTTGGGCTTGGGCGCTGCGGCGTCGTTTTGAGTTAGTCGTGGCGGGAATGAGCCCGGGCTTTGTTGAAAATAAGGCGGGAAAATCATATGATTTGGTGGGATAATGTTGTTGGATGAGTGGTGAAAGCATCTGATTCTGTGATTTTTGACATTTTAATTTTGTTTTTTACATGCAATTTTATTCATAATTGTAGTAACTACTATCTAATAACCAATTGTGGTGATTGACCAAAAAAAATAAAAATAAAAAAAAAATATTACTATATCATTCTTTTGTTCATAACAAATTAATTCGATTCATATTTCATATTGTTAATGAACCAAATTTGACACTTGCATGTCTCGTTCAAGGTTTTTTGCATTTTTAAGTTTGAAATTCATGGAGCATTTAAAATCTCAATTTAAACATCCAAAATCTATTATTTTCTCCAACTAGGTAAAGAGGAGACACTGCCTCTTGAATTGAGATTCTCTTTGCATCTTTGTGTCTGGAGCCGGCATGGTCAAAGATCTAGCCACTCATTTTAAACTTACGGATACTATTAACCCATCTCATTGGCTCATCTCAGTTAAGGGTCCATATTTTTTTCTTTTTCCCTTGAACAGTCTAGATTTGACTCCAAACTTCGAAATCCAGAGTGAAACTCGATTCCTTCCTCTTAAAACACTATAAATCTCAAAAAGTTACACAAGTGCCACATACATGATGACGCAACTGGAGCAACAAAAAAAAAATGAAGAAAACTAAAGGAGTGAAATTGTCAAAATTGACACCACAAAAACGAGTGTGGAAAATTGCTCAAACTACATGATCCAAAAAAATCAATCACCAAACAGGGTTATTTGATTTATTTCCCCAGTCTCTTACATTTCAACCAATCAGTTCATATTTTATTCATGTGAACGTTACAAACCTATTTCTTGAGTGTGAAGAAATTCTTTTTACCACCGACATTTATGATGGCAAGTTAAACTTACTATCGAAAGCGAGGTATCACCTTACAGGATCCAACTTCTCTGAAGAAAGTTCCCTCCTCTTCTCATCTATGACAGCTGAAAGCTCCATCATTTGGCAACCAACCCCCTTCAAAAATTATCAGATGAGAGAGAGACCCACTTCGTTGTTTGGAAACAAAGTCTGTAACTTTGAGCTTGAATTTTGTGGTGATAGGTCGTCATTTGCATCACAAAATGGTAAAGAGAAAGGCACAAGTTTTTCCCTATATTTTCTCTTTTATTTATGCTCATCTTTTCGATATATATTGTCGAAGAAACATTGTCTGGTGATCGTTAATTTTTCAGTTTTTATACATGCTTCTTTAGTACAATGAGGACCTCAATGATTCCAAGAGATTTCCCTCAAGCACATCCCTTGCGATATGACCAACAACAGCAGTGTCATGGCCATCAGCTTTTGATGGCACGAAAAACTGCCTCCATCGGAGCACTGCCATCATCACTCGTTCCCTTCACATCCATCCCAACATCTACAGCCACAAGGCCACAGCCTCCTTCGCAGGTTTCTTTAAAACTTCTAGCAAAGACGCGTTCTGGCTGCACAAGAAATGAATCTGCTTCATGAAAACCATGATGGTCTCCGGGAACTCATAACCCACCAGCCAAATATTCAATGCTGGAGATTTAAGGTACTGCAGATCTTCTGATGAATTCGGTGTGTTGCTACTGCAAGAAAATCAGACGAACCCCACAAATCATATCGGTGTTTTTTCCCAAGGCTATATCCATTCGATGTTCAGCCGCTGAAAGCAGTTCTAGCATAGAGTCCATGCATGCATCCACAAACCTAAGACAAACACCCAACTAAATTCAAATCAATTTTTCAATAAAAACCCCTCAAATCCTAATTGTGTTATAGTGTTTATGTTTAGTTTTGTATTTTGATTTTACGAATTGGAAGCAAACGAAATCTGCAAGAGCTTAATTCAAATGCGAGCAAGAAGAGGAAGGAAAGAAGTAATGAGACGTTGCTCCAATTCCATTAGATTCGATTACATCTGTTGGAGTTTTGAGCTCCTTTAGTCCCACGTTAGGGAACTCAAGGGAACTTGAGGTCCTTATATTAAGTTAGTCATCTTTATTAGTGATTAGGTGTTGTACCATTTGGAATGAGGTTTGAGGTCTTGGCCATTAATTGTGTGGATTAGGCTTATGATTATACCATAATATTAATATTAATTAATCAAGATAAGGGCCATGGGGCCTAAGAATTAATTTCGAATTAAGTTTTTAATTAAAATTAATTAAAAATGTTTTGATTAGTAGGTGTAGCTTCAGATACATCCAAAAGATATTTGAAGAGGTATGAAAGAGCCTGTATAACTGGAGTCTCAGTTCCATTGTACATCATCTTTTTCTTTTTCCCATCTCTCCCATACAAAACCTTTCAGAGAGTAAACACACAAAACAATTCGCTAAAATTCTATAATCCAGTGCAGGTTGTAGAATTAGGTAGTTGTATCCTGGTCGAGCAGACGTTGTAAAACCACAATCACAAGAGTAGGACGGAAATACTGTTCGAAGGACATAACTTTTGCGCTAGCCTCTACCTTTGATTCATTCAAGTTAGTATCATTTTAATTCTGTATTTATTGTGTAATTTTATTCTGTATTGAAAGTATTTTTAAGGAATAAAGTATAAGTATTTCAAGTTCTATATTTCTGTTATTTTTGTTTCTAAATTGTTCTCCAACGACATCAACACAAGAAATGTGTGAGAGATATAGTGTAGAATTATTAGAGAGACGGGCCAAATGTGTTTCAACAATATCGATATTGTCTCCAACTTGGTAACTACCACCTGCACAATCTGTCAGGTGTGAGGTTTTATCATAAAATGTCTCGATATTAGTTGAATGAGGTTAAAATATTAAAACTCTTCTTTTCTTACAAATACGATCGATGTGAAATAATTTAACATATAGCCATTGCAACTCACACCCCGCACAACTTGGTGATGTGCACAACATACATACCACTTAAGTTACAAATATGCTATGACAGCTGGCACAAATTCAACCATTTAACATGTTCTAATCCTAGCCGTTTGTTACAACTAAGAACACTAAGATTTTTTTTATAGAGTTTTAACGAAACATTTTTGGTACTGTTCACTTTTAATAAAAAACCACATTTTTACTTTTCTCTAGTACTATTCACTACACCTTTATTTGTTTTTTTCATTAAAACCAAAATTTTTTTGAACTTTTCGTTATTGTTATTATTTTTTTTAACGATTCAAGAAAAAAGTTGTAGTCCTTCGTACTTTTTGGTCAATAAAGAAAAGTTGTAATCTATGAACAGAGAAACACTATACGAAAACGTACCTTTCTTGAACCTTCAGAAATGGCCTTCAGTAATCGATTAAGGTTTTGATTATGGACAATCGGGGGCCGATCAAAAAGAACTGGGGGATTAAGACATATGACTTTCACTTGTAGGGTGCTTCCTGTGGTCATTAAGATTTTTCATTGGGGTATTTTTGGGATTGTAATACGCCTGTGGTTTGGGTGAGTGGGGAAAGAGGTTTGGCTTTGTTGAAAGTATGGCGGGAAATCATAAATTGACGGGTTTGGGTCAGGTTGATCACAAATTGTATTTTTAACGAGTCATCCAAACTAAACGGTTAAGATAATAGATAATTTAAACCCGACCCCTTATATTAGCAAATTAACCATTACTCATTAACAAAGAATAAATTTTATCATTTCAATCCATCTTAGGTTCTTAGCCTTGTGGATAAACGTTTTTGGATTAGCCTTGTACAACACTGGAGAATAAAGAGCTAAAACGTTTAATCTCTTGCATTTGTTAACCCGAATCGAACCATATAAGTAAGTGATCATTAACAGGTCCAACTTTTACTAGCACGAATTGGTATGCCTCCACCCAAATACTAATTTTAGCGAATGTGTTGAGTAAGATTAACGAATTGGATACAAATTGTCATCTCTAATCACTTATGCTCATTAAAAAAAATTATTTACTTAATCTAAAGACTAAAAAATAATGACACCATGAGCATGAGAAGACAATAACAAAAACAAGGGATGTATGTCTTTGTCAATACTTGCTTGGTAGTTTGCCAACTTCATTTTGAATAAGTTTTTTGCCGTTGTTAAAAAACTTGGGCTACTTCATCACTAGTGAACTAAAATAGATGGCCTGCAATACTATGACTTTGTCAAACTACAGATATATTTTGTTGTTTTGTCATTTCAATAAGATATCAATTATTTGAAGCAGTTGCCAAATACTAAATCAACTTAAACTTATTATATGCATGTAACTCTAACCAAAGCTTGTTTCCTTTTGCAAATCTTTGTCATACAATGGCAAATTCAAGAATCTTCAATCGGGGATGCAACACGAATGTCACAGTTTCCTTAAAATATTTTGTCAAAGATCTTGCATGCATTGTAATCATCCTCGACGTGAATATCAAATAAACATTATACAGTTTTTTATGACTCATTAGAAGGGTGGAGACAATTGCATACCCTAACTCCTATATGGATCTGCTAGCCACAAAATTGTATTAGTTTATATCTAAAGATTTAAAATATTTGATAACTTAACAAAACAACCAACTTAAAATTCATGAACCATTAGAAAACTTATTTTCTTTTTTTTGCTTTATTAAGTTGTCAAATATTTTAAGCATTTAGACCTAAACTAACATAATCATGTGGCTAATATGCATTTAATCCTCACAGGTCCTCAAATGAGGACCTTGAGAGAGTAGGACTCAAATAAATTTTGCACACCTTCTTTCTCGTTTCTATGCACACTCTTATTTAATTGTTCATTAGATCTCCTTTGCTTTGTTAGATCAAAAGCCAAAATAAACATGGAGTGAATAGCACCCTACCAGATCGGCCATCAAGCTAATCATTTGGCATTATTTTGTGACTTTTTGTAAGTGGTGGTATGGAAGTTTCCCAAACCATCCTCTTCATTGCCAGTTGATATCTTTCAAGAATAAGATAATTAATTAGTGAAAACTTAAAACCATGAAAGTTTGCTAATGGAAATGTTCAAACTAAGACAGCTTCAAATTAGTGTGCTTAGCAGCTAGCTAAAACACGTTTTACCAAATCTACACTTTACCATTTCTCTTAACCTATAAAATGCAATTAACTTCACCTATTTCTTCCATCTCAAATCAACTTAATTTCTAATCTTCTCTATACTTGCTCAAGTCTTTAGCTGTTGAAATGGCTGCTGCCCTAATGTTAAGATTGTGTTTGATATTCTTTTTGGCCATGTCAATGATGGTTTTCGTGTCATCAGCAGCTCCGACAGTTGGGTTTTATCGATCAAGTTGCCCTTCTGCAGAGGCAATTGTGAGAAAAGCCGTGACGAAAGCTGTGGCAAGGAATCCTGGCATAGCTGCTGGCCTCATCAGAATGCATTTCCATGATTGTTTTGTTAGGGTATGCTTACATTTTGAATTTTAATCTACATACAGATTTGTTATTAGCACTAGAAATAACAATTATACATTAGGAAAGTACGGAATGATTATTTTGGAGTGCCGATAACAGCTTTCTAATTATGTTAAAACTAACATTTAAGCACAAATAACATTCGTATGTTGCTTATTTCAGGGTTGTGATGCTTCTGTCCTACTTGATTCAACTCCCGAAAACCCATCCGAAAAAGAGCATCCAGCAAACTTTCCAAGCCTGAGAGGGTTTGAAGTGATTGATGAGGCAAAGGTAGAACTCGAAGCAAAATGTCCAAATACCGTGTCATGTGCTGACATCCTTGCATTTGCAGCACGTGACGGCGCACTTCAAGTTGGTGGAATAAACTATGCAGTGCCATCAGGTCGGCGTGATGGGAGAATCTCCCTCCGAGATGAGCCTAACGACCACCTCCCCCCACCTTCCTTCGGCGCCAACCAACTCGAGGAGAATTTCGCTCGAAAAGGCCTTAGCTTGGACGAAATGGTCACATTGTCCGGGGCACATTCTATTGGTGTGACACGCTGTTCTACCATCTTGGATCGCTTGTATTCCTTCAATGCAACTCACCCTACAGATCCTTCAATGGATCCCATATTTGCTAGAAACTTGAAGAAGAAGTGCCCTAGATCGTCTGATGATCTAAAAACTGTGCCGCTTGATGTTCTTACACCAAATGAGCTTGACAATAAGTACTACACTGATTTGAAGAACCACCAGGGCATGCTTGCATCGGATCAAACGCTTCTCACTAGCCAGTCGACGGCCGGGTTTGTAAGGAACAATGCCAGGTTTGGTGCTGCATGGGCTAATAAGTTTGGAGCAGCCATGGTGAAAATGGGATCTATTGATGTCCTCACGGGAAGACAGGGTGAAATCAGGAAGAACTGCAGGGTTGTCAATTAGAATATCTGGGAATTTTATTGGCTCTAAATTTAATTGTAATTAAATCATTCTAACCATTACAGAATGATGCTCCACTTTCATATACTCATTCATTCCTTACATCACTCATCATCACCATCCAAATATATAAGCCATTGTGATTATGACATATGGCAATTACAAGGCATGTGAGCCATTGAAAATGAAAACTAATCTATGTCCTACACTTGGCATATGAGCTCAAGCTATCTCAACAGAAAACAGTTTCACAAAATGACAAAATAAAAAATCCAAGGTAAATCATTTACTAACAAGAAATTAGTAAGCAATTTACTTTTCAACAACCAAGTATAAATTTGAATGGCACGAGAGGATGCTGAGAACTCATCTACGAGAACAGAAACTTATAAGAAAACATGAAGTTGAATATTAATTCTCATGTGGGAACTACACGAAACTGAATTTAAAAAACTTTATTAGATATGTGAGGGTTGACATATTCCAAACTTAAGGGAAAGCATCTGTTTCCTTTCATTGGAACACTTGCAATCAAATCTTCCATCTGTCTATCTCCATATATATATCAACCATGTAATCACCAAACACAAGCCAATATCCATGCTTTACCATCTGCCCTACACTCAACAAATTCTCATCCAATCCAGGTACAATCATAACCTCTTTAATATATCTAGTCACACCCTTCATTTCTATAACCAAGGTACCTTTGCCTATTGACTGCATTAAATCTCCAGTAACCATTTTAACTCTACACTTCACATTTTTATCAACATCAATAAACAAAGATTCATGAGAGGTCGTATGATTACTACATGCATTGTCTACATACCATATGTTCATATTTCTTCCAATAGTAGCAAAACGACAGGCATAAAACATGGTTGTAGGTTTTGGTACCTGATTGGCAAAATTTACAAGCTTTCCAGCCTTGTTTGGTTTATCACAGTCCTTGATGAAGTGACCAAATCGATTGCAACCATGGCATTTTGGCTTCCCTTTAAACCAACAATCACCATAGTGTAGCTTATCACAATGCTTGCATTTTCCCTTAGCCTGATCAGGTTTTCCTCCTTGGTCATACTTGCCACCTTGATTAACAAGGTTCTAAGGTATAGGGTCCCATTTCTTTCCCTTTGATTTCCAGTTCTTCTTTGGTTTAGAGTTACCAAAAGAGGAATTTGACTGAGTTCCCCTTGGATTCACACTCATACTACTGAAAGCTCTCTTAATGGTACTCTCAGCATGCCTATCAAGGCGCTGTGCAAATCCTCTCAATGCAGCAATAACCTCTTGCACCTCAATACTTTCAATGTCCTTAGTTTGTTCAATCACATAGCAAACAGGATCAAATTCTTTGGTCAAGCTTATGAGCAATTTCTGAACCAATTAAACACTCTTTGGGTAAATCTTCTCCATACATTTTCATTTGATTCACCAGCTCGAGAAGACGAGTGAGATACACAGACAAGGTTTCATCATTTTTCATCCTTGTGTACTTGAAATCTTGGCATAGACCCTGTAGTTTGATAGATCTCACTTGTTTATCACCATGAAATTCATGGTGTAAAATATTCCAAGCGCCCTTTGAGGTCTCCTCATTTTAGATTATGGGAAAAATATCCTCTGAAACAGCTCATTGGATGATACCCAACGCCTTAGCATCCTTCATCAACTTATCAATCAAAGAAGCTTTCTCTGAATTTGATGAGCCTTCATCTTTAACCTTTTTACCCTTCGATTCTGGAATTTCAAGACCTTTTCGACTAAATCCTAGATTCCATGCGATTTGAAAATGGTTCTCATCCGAATCTTCCAAAATTCATAGTTGTCACCATTAAATATTGGAACCCGGAGATCACCACCGCTTGATTCAACCATTTGAGACCTAAATCGATGAACTGAGCTGGAAATTTCACGTTGGATTTCCAAACACAGCCCTAACAGATCTGATGCCCCGATTCCAGATCGAACCTAGGCTTGCAATACCATGTTGAGATTTGAGTAATTTTTCATTGATCTGATCACTTGGATTTCGAAGGGAGCAAGAAGAATAAAAAAAGAAGAAGCTAGAGAAAGAGTCAGAGAAAATATTTCACAGCTACAACATTCTAACCGTTATAGAATGATGCTCCACTTTTATATATTCATTCATTCCTTGCATCACTCATCAGCACCATCCAAATACATAAGCCATTGTGATTATGACACATGGCAATTACAAGGCATGTGAGTCATTGAAAATGAAAACTGATCTAAGTTCTGCACTTGGCATATGAGTTTAAGCTATCTCAACAGAAAACAATTTCACAAAATGACAAAATAAAAAATCTAAGGTAAATCATTTGCTAACAAGAAATTAGTAAGCAGTTTACTTTTCAACAACCAAGTATAAATTTGAATGGCACGAGAGGATGCTGAGAACTCATCTATGAGAACAGAAACTTATAAGAAAACATGAAGTTGAATATTAATTCTCATGTGGGAACTACACGAAACTGAATTTAAAAAACTTTATTAGATTGTCGTGAACCGCTCATAGAGTCCGAAACTTGTTCTTGCTCTGGTTGCTAAGGGATGCATCAATTGATTAAGTTTGATGGTATAAGGCTGTAGAAGAAGATGGAATCTGAAACCAATCCGGATGTGATAGTTGGAATTAAAACTTGGAAGTTCAATGTCTTTTAGAATGATTTTTCCAAGCTTGTTACTTGGATGGCTTTGTTAACTCCCTTATTATACTAATTAAGACTCCTAAATATATTTCTTGTAGATCACCGCAGCTAAGAGCGGTACGAGTAAGGGAAAGGGATGGAAAGCATAGAATTCCAGCATTACACCGAAAAGAATCTCTTTTATTAATGGATGTATATGCAAACTTGTTATATTTGTATTAGGGTAAGGAATGAATGTGTATCTGAATTTGAACTTGGATAAATGTAGTTCGATTTTAATCTGAAATGAATGGACGGATGGATGGATAATTTTTATCCGTGAATACATATGGATTGATATATAGATATAGAATGTCTTCGATATAACAATTGCTAGGCATTAATTCAGAAAAAATGAAGAAGAAGAAAATTGATCACATGATTAACAGGATGATCATGTGTAAAATTTTCATCACAATGTGTAAAATTTGCCATCAGAATGTTTAAAATTGCATGATCAAAAGATTAAGAGTGAATGTTTGATTAAATTTCTGTAACAAGCCATTAAACCAGTTAAAAAGTTTCTGGTCAGAGTCTTTGTTATATATCAAGGAATTTAGCAGGGGTGCAGTGTGGTAGATGTGAATTAAATCAGAACAGTAGTTAAAACTGGAAAGGTAATAAAGTGCAAGGAAAATGTCATGTCCGGCGATTTAAGGCTCTTACCCATCTCAACTGGACCACCATAAATTCCACACCAATACCATAGATCCACTGTAATTACAGTTTGTACTGGAGGGATGGGTGGTGGCCTTGGCATCTCCGTCGCTTGCAAATTATTACTGTTCCAAAATCAACTACTCCATTTACCAAAAGTTAATATGCTGGTTAATTAGTGTCATTTAGCATGGTTAAAAACCACCCTCCGGCCACTTAGTGTTACGGTCTAGTGATATTCCTCTTCACTTGTAAGTGAGAGGTCTTAAGTTCGATACTCACCAAAAGCGAATTTGAACCATATTATTACGCAGATAATTTGGATAATACATACAATTAAAGAAAGAAACTCACTACTCTAGTTGACTGGACTAACCTCAAATCTATACATATCAGTTGAGTTTTTTCTTTGTGATTAACTAATTAAGGGGGAAATTTGCCGCATACGCAAGTGGTTATAAACTTTAACAAAATAAAATAAAAAGAATTGAGGATACTAACTTTCTTTTGTTCAAATTGAGGATACTAATAAAGGGACAAAAATAGAACTTTTTGCTAGGAGCAAAGGGCACTAAACAGTCAGTAAAACACGTTTTAGTATCTTTTTAGTGTCAATTTATTGTCTGTGTTTAGTGTCTCTCTGTATTGTAAGTATACCTATTTCTAATCGAGATTTTTAAAAAGTCTTATCCACGACCACGAGTACTAGCTAGCTAGTTCTAATTTTGATTAAAAGCTTATTACCCGTTATATATATTGGTGTATGTTTCCCTTAATTAATCCCCATAACAGTAACAACTGCATTTAGCAAGGAAACCATGCATCCCTCTATAAATGGCAAGATAAAAGTGTTATTATGATCTTCATCAAATGGAAATCTTTTTCGCTATAAGCAGACTGATGTTACTTCACTTCCCAGTGTGAGTGACGTGTGAGGCTGAAAGAGAGCTTATAAACCCTAGCTTGTTCTTTACTATTCTTGAGAATCCTCTTTTTAAGATCATGGAGAGAGTGAGTAAGCTGGCGCTGCTCCTGACCGCCATCCTGGTGGTGGCTGCAATGCCGGTTGAGGGAGGCAGGATGCTCAAGAGCAACGAAAAGGGGGAGGTTGTTGCTCAGCCTCAGAACATTTACGGCGGTGTAGGCGGTATTTACCCAGGCTCACCAGGCTTTACTGGGATAGGGTTTGGGCCGTCAGGCTTCTGCTCTCTCCCTGGAGGCTGTGTACCTACAGGCGGTACAGGTTTTGGCTCAGTCCCACTCCTGCCGACCAATAACCCTGGTGTTCCTCTTGGCGGCGGTGGTATTCCTTAAGGTGCAGGTGGTGGCTCAGCTCCAGTTGTTCCATGAACTCTCAGAGACGACCAATTTGCTCCAGTGGGGTCCAGTTGGGTTTGGTTTAATGGTCTGGTTTTAAGTCCTTAATTAGAAATAATTTGTGTCTGGTTAGTTTTAATTTGTAGCAATATCGATCTCTCTCGTTGGTGTGTCTGCAGTCTGTTTAGGGTTTCCAGTGTTTGGTGGAGAAGCAAATAGCTGAGTCTATTTTGCTTGCTCTTAAAAGATTTAGCCACGGTTCTAACTTGGCTGTCACGCGTTGTACTACTTCTTCGAGTATGCTATTAAATAATGTTCTTCGTTTTATTTTTAAGCATATTCACTTACGCAAACCTTGCTACGATTTGTTTTTCCTTGATGGTAAATTTCCCCTAAACTAAACATGAGAAACTCCCACTGTCTATATAGGCTCAATTCAATGAAACAAATTTTATCCTCGTGTTAATATGTTGCTCGAGGGTTTTAGCTCAGAGTGTTCAAATTATACCAGTCAAACCAACTGTGGATGCCTTGATCGAGGTTTGAACGACCCATCAGACTGGATGAAGTAAATAATAAAACCCTAATTTTGATGTGTCACTTTCCATACATATAATCAAATTATAGAAGTTGAGCTGGTTTTTAAGGAGCAAGTTTCATCTAGCTAGAGTCCTTCCTTCTACTTGATAAAGGAGAGGATTAATTGCCGTTTCATATTTGCATACCAGTTTCCTTGGCAAAGTGCCACCTTGTAATTCTGTATTGAGATTTTTCCTTAGTTTATATGAAACACGTACACCACAACCGTAGCATTCCGGTTCAATAGTACAACGTCATGTGTAAAGTTTTTTTTTTTTTTTCTTTTTCTTTCACGTGAAGCTGTATTAATTATTGATTTGAAACTACATATAGTGGCGTACCCATTTGATGTAAGTCTCTCTACTTTTGACATTGTTCAAAACTTGAAACTTGAAACATGAAACCACAATGTTGCTATCGATCTTCTCTATTGGATCTTTTCGTTCTAACTCATTGGCATTCTTTCTCATCTTGTTGTGTTGTACGATGACAAAACCGTTTAATTTTTAGTTTACTATTTAAAGATCATCTCTGCAAAAAAATAAAAATAAAATAAAAAAATAATAGTTTGAATAGCGTTGTCAAAATTTCAATATTTAAAAGAACAACATGGTTTATCTATTTATTGGATATCCATTACAATTAGATGACTAAACTATTTCGAATTTAGTTAACTTTTTGAAATTTGACATTATAGAGTGACCTAAAAAATAGACGATTTGTAACATCATGCAAAATTACATAATAAAAGGGAAAATTGAAAAACTAGAATGATAAAGTTTATAAAAGAAGGTTGCTAGCATTCTTTTAAGTAGACATAGACCTGGTTTGGTACTGAGATGATTCTGAAAAAAGCTGGTATCAAAAAAAACTGGGAGCTGCTTTTGTGTTTGGTAAACATTCAGCTACAACTTTTTTTCACAGTTTTGGGTGAAAAAAAGCCAAAAACAAGAAGCTGCAAAACCCAGCTTTGAAAAATCGGCTTTTTTTCACATCTGTTTTACATAAAAGTTTACCAAACACTATAATACTGTTTTTTTTTTTCAAAAGCACTTTTACAAAAAAGTTTACCAAACACTCTGCTGCTTTATTTCACAGCTGCTTATTCTCATAGCACAACAGAATCAACTTTTTTTCAAAGCACAACAATACCAAACCAACCCATAATCATATAAAAAGAATCGGCATTTGGTCATCAACCACCAACTGGGACTATAAATGAAGCATAAAGTTTATGGTTGTAAACAAGTTTGGAGTTTGTAGTTATTAGTCTCATTCAGTGGGACTTCTTCAAGATTTCATAGCAACATAAGTATGCTCAAGTCTCAATCACCCAACAGCCTTATAATTTTGTTACCCAAAAGAAGCAAACCTAGTACTACTGTAGGATTGTGGCATTGTGCTATCAAAGCAAGGTGCATGAAAATCTCAAACCCTTGACTAATAGGTAGGTTACCTTATCTATCCATGCACCTTAACCAAGTCTCAATCAACCTTTGTCTTTAACAATTTAGATTTAAGAAACATAAAACCCCGTTGATGTGGGTTAGGTCGATTAGTTAATTAGAACTGAGTGTTCACCTACGTAGACTCGAGTTTGAATTTTTTTTCTATACAAATTAGAGTAGTTTAGTCTATCGCATTGTCATAAAAACCACATTAAGAAACCGTCTAATTTCTAGTAAGTAGTAAGTACAAAAGTGTTTTTATTATAAACATGTATATGAAGTTGGAATGATTGGGGCTAAGGCCTCATTTGGAACTCATTTGTAGTAAGCACAAAAATGAAAAGGAGAAATTAGAATCCCCTGCATTTTTTCAATACATTTTAGATCAAACATTGGTTCCTTTCTAAGATTAGATCACACATTCATATCTAACAACGAGTTTTGTTACATTCTATTTAATTTACTAAAATAAATATTTTAATAAAAAAAATCTTAAATCATCATAATAAGAGGCATAAAAATAGGAGGAAAAAAAGGGAATGCTAACGTGAATAGACTTCTAATGAAATAAAATTAAGCACCAAAATTGTAGGGAAATTGTTTAATCAAATTTGTAAAAAGAATAGATACTTAGTTTATGACATTTAAAAACGAGGCATATATATCAAAACGTCGCAAATGAAAAAGACGTTACTTTATTCCGACTCTCCTATACGACGTCCCTTTTGGGTGGTCTTCGTCTCTTCGGCATTTGTTCCATCGACCTCTGGAATCATATGGATCTGTTTGTTTGCTGAGAAAATCGAAGGAAGATAGCCAAGAAAGTACTCACTGCGGGAGCTGGTCATAAGCAAGGGAAAAAGACTCCAAAGTTTCTCAGAAACCGCCTTGGTAGCGATGCAACAAAACTCTCTGAACTTGGTGATTGTCCTGACCTGATTTAAGAAAAAAAGGATGGAAACAAGGATCCACCAGAAGGATTGTTGGTACGTGGAGTTTGGCAAAATGGAGGTGGTCGTAAGCTCGTGAAGATGATCGTAGAAGTGAATCAAGTGATTGTCTAGTCCAAGCAAGAACCCATCCGTTTGTAATTGCACGGGTTGCCACCAGATGAACTCTCTTTTTTTGTATGAATGTGTTTCTGTGTCATATGCGGTCTGTATGTTTTCTGTAGTACTAGAAAAAAACTTGTAGCCGTTAAGGGAGTTATGACGAGTGATTATGGTTTAGAAGTAGCCTCGAAGGACCGTTTGACAACCATTTTGTTTAACAACAGAAACTAAAAAACGAAATGGTTATTGAATGGCCCGTTATATTACTTTGAATATCTGAATACTGTAACATTTATATGAAGTTTGCTCGTCGTTTATGTAGCTGTGCATATAAGGGCTGCTTATAGTTCAAAGTCGACAATTATAATTCATATGGATCATTACACCCATTCCAAATTAAGTTTGGTTTCGATTAATTTTAACGAAAATTCTAGTATGCGTTGATGTATTGCACACACTGTCAAAGAAACACTCGATCTGTGTAGTTTAATCATGTCATAAGGCCATCTTTAACCGAAGGGTCCAGAAGGTCAGAGGGTCGAAAATAACCCGAAAACCGTCTCCAACCAAGGGCTAGGCCAAAGGGCTCGTGTCATCTGAGAGGGCCCCATGGAATCTGAAAGGGCCAAAGGGCTAGCCAGAAAAACATTAATCATATTGGTTATAACCGACAGGAATGCTTAAAAAGAAATTTGAATCCAACGGCTAGCTGGTGCGATTTACCGTTGGATTCATTTTTTTTTTTTTTTAATTCTCAAAAATTCTAATTTTTTTTCCTATAAATACCTAAACCATTCATTCACCATTCCTCACAAAATTTTCACCATTCCTACACCCTTTCAATTCTCATATTTTCTTTCCTCTTTCAAAAATCTATCCTTCAATTTTTTCAATAATTTTCAAATGTCCTCGTCTGCAATGAAAGGTAGGGCTTGGGCCCAAAAAGAAGATGAAGTTCTTTGCAAGGCTTATAAATGGGTGTCGGAAGATAGTGTGAGGGGGAATTGTCAAACAAATGACGATGTTTGGACTCGTGTATCAAAAAAATACTTAGAGTTCTATGAAGGCACCATTCCAGTGAATATTCGAAACCATGAGAGTTGTTCTTTAAGATGGAAGAAACATCTTCAGCCAAGTTTGAACAAATGGCATCAAACATTGTTAGCAGCCGCAAGTACACGTGAAAGCAGCATTAATTACTACAACAAAGTAAGTGTTTTCACAATTTATTTTAAATATTTAATTATATTACATTTAATTTCATAAATTAATTTCCTTTAATTTTTTTCTAGGTATGCCAAGCGGAGGAATTGTATATGGATAGCAGCTCGAAACCCTTTCAGTTTCACAGTTGTTGGGAAATTTGTAAAGGATGGGTGTTATTTGAAGATCCACCACATAGAGCTCATATGCCGGTGTTCGGAACTGCATCCTCAACTACAGATATGGATGAAAATGGATCTCCAACCATTCAACAAACAAGGGTAGAAAATCCGTCTTCGGGTGAAGGTTCCATACCTAGGGCTATTGGACAAAACAAGGCTCGAAGGTTGAAGGAAAAGGGCAAGGCAAATGATGATTATGCCTCTCAACATGAAGTGGCGGCCTCATTGCGATTAATGGCGGAGCAAAATGCCCTTGAGGTGGAAGAAAGGAAAAGTAGGCATGAAGAATGGGCCAAACAAATACAAGAAGAGATGGATGATAAGAATATGGAAAGGAACACTTCGAATTACACTCCAATGAGTAAAGCCTATTTTGATAGAAAAAAAAAGAAATTATGACCCAGCGGCCGTTGTTTACTTCTGACTATACTCCTACAATGGCGGATGATAAAGATGATGTTGATTATGGATATTAAATTTAAGTTGTTGTAGTTTTTAAATTCAAGTTAATGTTGTTTTTAAATTTTATTTGTAATTTTTAAATTTAATTCGTCGTTTTTAAATTTAAGTTGTTGTTGGATTTGAATTTAAGTTGTTGTAGTTTTTAAATTTAAATAATAAATTATATTTGGCCCTTTGGCCCTTGGTTAGAGACGGTTTTTTGTGACAGGGCTAAAACGAGCCCTTTGGCCCTCAGTTGGAGACGGAGGCAAATATGGCCTTATACTGTTCATTAAAATATTAATATCTTGGAGGGCCAGATGGCTAAAACGAGCCCTCTGGCCAGCCCTTGGTTGGAGGTGGCCTAATACATTTGTCGAAATCAACTATTGGATCTTATTAAAATAATAATGTATTTAATGTTCAATGCATCAATGTCTAGAATACATTGTCAAAATCAACTAATGGTTCTTATTAAAGTTGTAATGTATCTAACTTTCAATGCTTGATCTTATTAAAATGATAATGTATTTAGTTTTCAACGCATCAATGTCTTGAATACATTGTTTAAATCAACCAATGGATCTTATTAAAATGATAATTGATCAAATTTCCAATGCTCGTAATGTATCTGATCATCGAAGGTGACGAGTTTTCAAGTACGTGACCTTCTAGTTACCTAAAGACTCAGGCATATGAGGGGCTAAGCTACGTTAGTGTGTCTGACTGCTTAAATCCTAGTCTAGATTCTTTTTTCGTAAATTAGAGTAGTTTAAAAAAAAATCTTGTACCAAAAAAAAAAACAAAACAAATATGTCAGTAAAAACTTGGAACAACTGTCTACTATATACAGGCGTGCGGGGATAGCTCAGTTGGGAGAGCGTCAGACTGAAGATCTGAAGGTCAGGTGTTCGATCCACCTTCACCGCAAACCATTTTTTATTTTTAATCCTTTTTACGCCTTTCTTTGGCGATGCGTGGGGCCTAATACGACAATATCCTGTGTCGTTTCCTTCAAAGCTGAGAAACTGGAGAAGGTGAGTGCCATGAAACATGACAAAAATAAAATCACTATTTAACTTTATTTTCTTTTTCTTTTCTTTTTTGAAAAACCAGAAAGCCATTTTCTTTTGTTAAAGCAAATTCCACATCAGCTTTGTGACATCACGCGTGCTAATAATTTTGGTGATTTAAGAAAATTAGCTTAATTATATGTTAATCAGCTGAGATTAGACCAACCATAATCCAACAACCGACTTGACAAATCATCAAACGGAATGGTGGGTTAGGTGAGAAGAGATCTTATCCAGATCTCTTTCACCAAGATCATCAGATTAAGTGATCCGAATCTTTAAAATTTTATCAAACAACCAAAAATTATTATAGCTTTTACGGGGTCAAAACAGGTGGACCGTTGGATGAAATTTCAAAGATCTGGATTACTTGATCCGGTGACCTTGGTGGAAGAGATCCGAAGATGATCTCTTCTTAGGTTAGGGGAACACCATTTGCATGATGTGTGTTCAACGTGGACTTCAATACTTTTACCAATAATGAAAATAAAGCTCAATCATCATAAATTTTATACTTATGCCCTTTGTGTGATTAGATGTTTTTTTCTTAATTTTTTAATATTAAAAAGAGCGAAAAAGATTCAAAGTTATTATAATAATTTCAAAAATTTAGAGTTTCAGATTTGGAATGTACTGATAAAAATCCAACATTAAATTTACTAGAATATTAGATCACATGCCTATGTTTAGTTGATTCGAGTTCAAATGCAAAATCTAATTACCCACCTAAAAGGGTAAAAGCAAAGCAACTTTTTAAATTTGATTAGTCAATTGCTTAGCATGACAAATTATTAGGATGTGGGAGTTTCAGTTGTGCAACAAGGGCGAATCCACTAAGGGACTAGATGCGTTCGAGGGGGAAAAGCTCTTTAGAGACTCTATGATAGTCATGTAGAAAATTCAGTCGTGATCACCAAGTGTTTGATGAATATGATGGGAAAAACATCCACATGTGTCGAAGTTTCAACAAGTTTCAACATCATGGCTCCTCAGATGGTGACAAACACATTATTTCTATTGATTCCACGATATTCCCATTATTTTTGTTAATTCTTTTTTAAAACTTCACATTTAAGTTTCCTAAATTATGATTATTGAATATTTCCTAAATTATGATTATTGAATAGACGATGACGTAACGTAACATTACTTCCAACATGGAAAATGCCTCTTATAATGGACAAGTGTAAACAATAACATATGATCAATCATGCAACATGCAAGGGAGTGTGAACTACTTTATATACTTTTTCAAAGATCAACATGATTATTTTATTTTTATCAAAAAGCATAAATCAATTCATCTCAAATTTCACATCCGGGAGTTGGTGAACCCCCAAATAACCCACCCCCATGCACTTACTCTTTGGATTCTTTTCTTCAAATTCACCAAATTAGGAAATTAGTACTATTGAAATTTAATCTAACGGCTATAAACAGAGACTCACTTTAAAAGTTATAATAACTTCAGCCGTTGGATCAAATTTCAATAGTATAGATCTCCTAATTTGATGGATTAGGAGGAAGAGAACAGGAGAGGATCCCTTTTCCACTTACAAAACACTATTAATTCCAAAAAGTTAAAAAATAATAATTAATCAAAATACCAAAAGTAATAATTTAGAAAAAGAAAAGAAACTGGTGATGAGTTTCTATAAGAGTAATGTTAGGAGGATAAAATTTGTAAACTAAGCACGTTTATCAACACTTAATAATAATCCAATTATTAATTTCTATGTTATTTAGTTTGCACATTTACTTTCCATAGTATTACCCTTTCTATAAAAGCTTTTTATTCAAAATGGTTTCTAAGATTAACATAATTCTTCATTTGGTCGTTGAGATATAAAATCAATAGAAGTGATCCCTCATATTGTCTATCGCCAATCATTTGGTCATGCTGGAAGAAATCTCAGTTAAATTGAGAGTAGTTTTGTCAAATCAACCCTCCCTTTGAACTAGTGGTTTTCTTAATTTAATAAATATTTTTCACAAAATGATTGACGTAGGATATTGATTTTAAATCTCTGAGATCAAATAAGAAATTATGTTAATCTCATAAACTATTTTGAATAAAAAAGGGCTCTAAAAATTAGGTGTAAACAAAAAAGATACTGCAAATACATACTTACACGAACAAAGGATCAAAACCAAATCGGACGGACTGTCGCTTTACTTCACCGACTCCCTCCAATCCCAGCCCTCAATCTACCCTCATCCAACGGCCGTAATCTTCAGCCTCCCACGTCATCACAAAAAACAAATCTTGACCGTCAATTCCCAGAGACTCCAAAAAATATGAACAAAAAAAAGCGGTGAAAATTGAAAAACAAGTGGAATGTAACCTGACTCTGTGTTTAAGCAACCACCACCAGACCCCTCCTCTGTCTATAAATAAAGCCCGGAAGTCTCGGATTCGGTGTGGCAAAGATTCGAGCTTTCAGGCTGCGAGACACTGGGAACAACCTGAACCTCAAGACCCAGGACTCAGATTTCCGCTTTTAGCAAGTAAGCACTTTTGAGAAGCTCAACATTTCATGCAAATGCTTTTTCTTTTCTTGTTTTTGAGTTGTATTTTCTGTTAGGTGCTGTAATCCGTTCCAATCTCGCCCTCTGCAGTTTAAATTAATTTAAAGTAGAATATCGTTTGTATTTATAAGTTTAGCAGTTGGGTTTTGTCTTTTTTAGATTTAGGTTACTGGGTTTTATTTTATGAAAACAATGCTTGACTACTCCAAGATAAGTATGAATTCCTATTTAAAATTCTTAATATTTTAATTACAGAATTTTATGCTTATGATCATATACAAGATCATATCTGAAAAAAATAAATTAAAATTAGGTCGTTTAATTAATCTATTGTAGCAAATACATAGACGGTTTGTAATGCTTTTACCAATATCATTCATTTGCTTTTAAACAATTTGATGATTAAACGATCTTAGTTTTAATTAATTTCTTGCAGAGACGATCTTTATATGGTGATTTATAATATGAACGGTTTTGATTATAAACACGAAGTTCTATAAATAGACAACGAACAATTTTGAGAAATTTTGAGTAGGAGTTCCTACTCATCTTTAATTAGCCATGATTGTTCTTCTTATAATTGCTTTTGTTGGGTGCGTTCAATTTGTGTTTGTAATGATGTCTATGTTTTTAGCTTCTTTAGGCTCATTTGGTGTCTAGGTATTGTTGGATTGGACAACGAACTAGATTTTGTGTATATAAGCACGAAATGGACGTCAACTTCCAAATCTTGTACAAGTTGAAGGTGGAAGATGAATTGGTTATGAAAACAACTTATCCCTTCCGCCTTTGTAGAATTGGGAGGAATAAGTTTTCTTCGTGAATAAATCCATCTTTAAGTCGGACTTGATTTGGAAGTTGACGTCCATTCTCTAGATCCGAGTTCGGATTTTCGATCATTTCTATAAGATGTGGTTAACGGAACATTCTCCGGATGATAGAGTTCAGCTACTGCTGAATTATATGGTGAGGTACTTATTAACTCTGATTCTGTTTTTTGTTGCAGCTTGTAAGAATGGAAGACACCTTCCTGTTTACTTCGGAGTCCGTGAACGAGGGACACCCCGATAAACTCTGTGATCAGATTTCGGATGCAGTGCTCGACGCCTGCCTCGAACAAGACCCCGACAGCAAAGTTGCCTGCGAGACTTGCACCAAGACGAACATGGTCATGGTCTTCGGAGAGATTACAACCAAAGCCAAAGTGGACTACGAGAAGATTGTGCGAGATACCTGCCGTACAATTGGATTTGTTTCAGATGATGTTGGTCTTGATGCTGACAACTGCAAGGTCTTGGTTAACATCGAGCAACAGAGCCCTGATATCGCCCAGGGCGTTCACGGCCACTTGACCAAGCGGCCTGAGGAGATTGGTGCGGGTGACCAGGGTCACATGTTTGGTTATGCCACTGATGAGACCCCTGAGCTTATGCCTCTGAGCCATGTTCTTGCCACCAAGCTTGGTGCCCGTCTCACTGAAGTTCGCAAGAATGGAACCTTGCCGTGGCTGAGACCTGATGGCAAGACGCAAGTCACTGTTGAATACTACAATGACCATGGCGCTATGGTTCCAATCCGTGTCCACACGGTTCTCATTTCAACTCAGCATGACGAAACTGTTACCAACGACGAGATTGCTGCTGACCTCAAAGAGCATGTTATCAAGCCTGTTGTTCCTGAGAAGTACCTAGACGAGAAGACTATTTTCCATCTCAACCCATCAGGTCGATTTGTCATTGGTGGACCGCACGGTGATGCTGGCCTCACTGGCCGCAAAATCATCATTGACACCTACGGTGGTTGGGGAGCTCATGGTGGTGGTGCCTTCTCTGGCAAGGACCCTACCAAGGTAGACAGGAGTGGTGCCTACATTGTTAGGCAGGCTGCTAAGAGCATTGTCGCCAATGGTCTTGCTCGCAGGTGCATAGTGCAGGTCTCGTATGCCATTGGTGTTCCCGAGCCACTATCAGTGTTCGTTGACAGTTATGGCACCGGAAAGATTCCTGACAAGGAGATTCTTAAACTAGTAAAGGAGAACTTTGATTTCAGGCCCGGGATGATTGCGATTAACCTCGATCTCAAGCGGGGCAGGTACTTGAAAACGGCTGCTTACGGACACTTCGGTAGGGATGACCCTGACTTCTCGTGGGAAGTGATGAAGCCATTGAAGTGGGAAAAGCCCCAAGAGTAGAACAAGTGCTTTTCCTCTCTGCTTGCAGTTGATCAATAATCTGCTTCTTCCGAGCAGCCGGTTTTCGAAATCAAGAGTCTTGCTTTTGCTTTTTCTTTTAATTGTCTTTCCCTTATCTTTTTTTCCACTTGAAATATTTCAATTTGGCATGTTTGGATCACATTATACAAGATGTATTGAATTCTGAGTCTTGGTGTATGAAAACATGTAGAAAAAAAGCTGGTTTCTTATTAGCTGCAAGGCAACTTCAATGTGGTGTTGCATTTGTTTGGTAAAAAAAAATCTAAATTATGATACATTATTATTAAGCTAATGAATTAACGGATTTGAATCTTATGCGGATTTTTCATATTCTATTAATTATATCATATTCGAATTTTTGTTACTTCTTGTGGCATTGCTTACGATATTTTTCCTCGGCTTTTTAGCCAAAATGGTTCTTGAGATTTGCATAACATATCACGTTGGTCCTTGAAATCAATAGAAATGGTCCTTGAGATTGTCTACCATCCATTATTTTGGTCATTCTGTTAAGTGTTCCAAAGCTCTTGGCCGAAAGTTTGGGCAATTTTCAAAGCTTCATAACTTAATCGTTTCTTAACCAAATTCGACCCATAATATATTAAAGTGAAGATAGGAAAGTGTAGAACAAGATTATACCATTTGGAAGCCCAATGATTGCCGGAGATAGCCGAAAAATAGCCTGAAACGTGACTGGTTTGCGGGAAAACTGGAAAACTCGCTAACAACTGGGTAAAATTTAAACGTTTATAACTTCTTCTACTCAATGAAATCGAGTGATTAAAAAACGAAAATAATTCTTCTCAATGAGACGAAGAGCATGGTACCTTTTTCGATGGATAAATTGTCGTGGTTTGGCCAGAAAACAGCTTGAAAGTGGCTGTCTTGGTCTCGAGTTAGCCACTTACACTATTTTTTCCTCTTTGTTTGTTCTCTTCCTCGGTGAGGTTTGGTTTTATGTTCTCCTCGTATGTATTTATCTATTATAAAAGAACATAGGTGTTCCTTTGGTCATCTGATGACAAAGAAATATATGATCACTTACCATTGAATTTGACATCAAGGGTGGAGAACACATGGATGTACTTTAATTGTTTTAGTTTTGTTATAGCATCTATAACGGCCTCCAGTTTAGATGGACAGCCCGGCAAATAGACAATCTCAACTCTTGATATCAAATCTAACGGTAGGTGACCCTGTATTGTTCCTTACTCACAAGGCGACCAAGAAAACGAGACGGCGGCAATTTCATCCACCAAATTTGAAGAGCAAATCACTCTGTACATAAACCCCCTACTGTTTTGGGTTTTTCACAAACACCACCACTTACATGCACAAACAATATATTTCTCCATCTACAAAAAAATAACAAAAACAAAGGAAAAAAAAAGGAGGGGAAAAAAATGAATAGATCATCCCTCTTCCCCATCAACCCCTTCTACCACATATGTCCTAATAGCATCAGCTCAGAGTCTCAGACAGACAAACCCAACAATTAAGAGTAGAAAAAAAAAAAATTTAAGAATTAACCTCACTTTCTATATTTCCGAGATCCTTAAACGAATCACTGGGTTATTACGTTCGTTGGTAGCCTTTGCTCTCTGATCTTGAACCCGGATAATCACTGCGATCAGTATCTGAATTTTCGCGCTGGGAATCAATGTCCGCGCTATCTCCTTCAGTTCTTCGGTGCCTTCGATCCTGAACATTGAGAAGAAAACTTATTTTCAGAAGACATGTGATATCATCTCTTTGTATAAAAGTTAACAAAGCCTGGATCTTATGAGGATGAAAACAAAATGGTTAAGACCATGGGAGAACGAAATGTAACATGCGGAGAGAGATTTTGACAGAATATTGAGTGATTAAAACGCGCGAAAAGGTTATGTCTTTTGCATGGGAAAAACATTTTGGTCCTTTGAATCGAAATTCAACTCGGAAGACAGCTTAAAATCCAACAGAAATTGTGTTCTAGAGATAGAATGAAAATCTAACCTCTCTTGGTATAGGATATTCCTCGGACTCAAGCATACGGACAACTTGGCTCATCTTGGGTCTTTTTTCAGAATCTGGATCAACGCACCTCAAAGCAGTCAAGAGGGCTCGTTTCAGGGCTCTTGTTGATGGTCTCACCTCAATGTTTGGGTCTACCACTTCTTCGGATCTTCTGCTTCCAACCATCATTTTTAGCCAATCAACCAGATTCACCTGTGAGCATTAAGACTACATGTCAAACAAAACTCCACAAACAGCAAAATGAAATAGTGATCAAACGATTGACATTGCAACATTAAAGTTCTATTGCCATTTCTGTCTGTTGAGTATCGAAGTCAAATGTAAACCCCTACCAGATCACTCCTCGGGTAAGCTCAGCAGTTTGTCAGAAAAGTACACAAAAGTTTAGGCTTTTACAAATCCAGAACCAGGCCAAGTATATTTAATAGGAAAACACAGAACCAAAGCGATTCAGAAGGGTCAATTTTAGGGAGGACCTATGTTGGGCTAGACAATCTGGACACTCCTAAGCATATTTAGACTGTAAACTGTCTGATAGTAACTGTTGTCATTCACTACATAATATGTATTTTCAAAAGACATTCACTACTTAGTACAAAAAATAAATCCAACTTGCATCAAACACTTATGATTCTATGTTGACAAAAATGTGGTATCTTAGGATGGTTAGAGTGCATACCTCATGAGCAGGGCGACCATAGTCCACAGGGTCCCTTCCAGTAATTGCCTCTAAGAGCAAAACCCCAAAGCTATATACATCGCTCTTTTCATTCAAAAGTCCGGTATTAGCATATTCAGGGGCCACATACCTGAAATTTTTTGGAAGCAGGGACAAGCATTACACTAGAAATAATTAATTATCAGCATCAGTTATCAACTTATTCTGCACATCTAAAACCAAAAGACACAAGATTGCTTAAGGGCCAAAACAAGTCGTGCTCAAGAAAGAATACTAACCCGAAAGTTCCCATAACACGCGTTGTCACATGACTAGTTCCTGCACCCAGCAGCTTGGCCAGCCCAAAATCAGATACCTTGGAATTGAAGTCTTCATCAATCAATATATTGCTTGATTTAATGTCTCGGTGTATAACTTTCGGTTCAATGGCCTCATGTAAATAGGCAAGACTGCAACAAGTATATCTCATTAAGTGAAACTAGAAAACCTGGAAAAAAGAAAGTACTTGTGTAGGTTATTGGACTTACGCTTTTGCGGTCCCAAGGAGAACCTTTATGCGGGCTTCCCAAGTGAGATATCCATGGTGACGCATTGCTCCGTGAAGCCACTGCTCCAAGTTTCCATTGTTGACGTACTCATAGACCAAAATCCTGAAATTTTGAAATGCAAGTGAGAACAGTGATTATATACTCAACACACTTCTCAGATACCAAGGCCACAAAAAACCAATTAAAAGAAAATGGTACCTATGAGTTCCTTCGACGCAGTATCCCAGGAGGCGAACTAAATTCTTGTGGCGCACATGGCCAATTGCTTCAACTTCCACCCTGAATTCTTTCTCTGCTTGGCCTCTAAAGACATTATAACAGTTTAGGTTACAAGTTCATGAAACCAAGAATGGTGAATGGACAAACCACAATGGATTCAAGGTACATTCGTTTTTAAACTCACAGGTTGTTTAGGATCTTTTTAACTGCCACTGGAGTCCCATTGATGAGATGTCCCCTGTAAACAACTCCATATCCACCTTCACCAAGGACATTGTCCTTTGCAAACCGGTTTGTTGCAAGCTCAAGGTCCCTTAATGTAAACCAGTGTCCCCAACCCAAATGCGAGAATTCAGGCAGGCCAACTAGAGGAGACGGGGTGGTTATTGGATAAGATGATGAAGGCTTATGTCCTGTAACGGTGCTGGAACTCCCCTCTTCTCCAGATTGGGACAGGACACCGTCGTTTTCTAAATGATTAAATGAACCTGACTGGCTGCTATTCTCTCCATTCTTCGATTTTCCCATATCCAGATGGACCATGATCTTATCTGATCCTTTGTCACTAGATTTGTCATGAATGGTGAGAAGAATTCCATCACGAGGAGCAAACTCCCTAGCAGATACTTGCTCAACCCGAACTTCCTTAATCTCTTTTGAGACAGTTGGGATTTGACTAAGGGGAATCTTGTCCCTAGCTTTCCTCGATTTCTTACGCCAAGTAAGACACATTGATAGCACAGTGAGGATGACTATGATAAACAGTGCAACAGCAATTCCAATTACTTCCCAGACTTTCAGATTAAAAATGGGAGTTTTCTTGGATAATTCTGATTGGAGATCAGAAGCCATTCTATCAGCTACCAACAAGCCTACACGTACACAGAAGAATCACACATCAAAATTTATTCAGATTCATCATTCATATCACTGTAAAAAAAAAAAAAAATCAAAATCTGTTCTTTCAATCCATTGCAGCATCTAGAGATTGATAAAATACAAAGCTAGTATATTTTTTCACCAATTCCACAAATATATACACACACACATATATAAACGCAATCAAGGAGTCAACCTTGACATGCTACCAGCTTAAATTTCACTACAATCATTTTACCACCAACATAAACAACAGTTCACAAGTAATTGGAATTGTAAACTCACTCCTTACCTCTCTGAGAAAGAGCTCAAAAGAGCAATCTTGAAAAGCCAGATCTTTGAAACCCCTTCAGCATTCTTTATCCTAAAACAAGGCACAATTCCAGATCTATAAACCAGAAAACCCAGAAACACACACCAAGAAAACCTCTCAAGGAACCTAAAAGATCCCACTTTTCAATAAAATTAATTAAAAAAATCAAATATATAACAGTAAAACTCAAATCCCTTTGTGGGTTTTCACTGTGGGCCAAAAGTGTGTCTGAATCTAAGCTGGGAAAGAGCTTTCAGGCACCAAAACTAATCCATCTCAAAAACCCACACCCAAAAGCAACCAGAAAACTCCTGCCTGTGCAAAATTGTAAAGGGTCATGGAAAAACAAAAAGATCTTTGTGAGTGGGTGGGGATATAAGAAGAAAGGGTGGAGTTATCAGCGGTAGGTGGTGAGTTTAGAGTTTTTAAGACTCACTCACTCACTACTCAGAGTTGCCTTCCAAAAACATAATACAAACAGTAAAAGGGATGCATGGAATTCTGCGATGTTAAAAGGTGCTGCGATTTTCCTGATTTGTTTTTGAAACATGACTGATTGGATTTTACCAGTATTTTACTTTATAATTATTTTTCTCTTTTTATCATTATTATGTATTTATTTTTTATAATTTATTGTTGTATCTGTGTAGTTGATTATAAATTTATGATTGTCGAATCTCAACCGTTTACTTGGTCAAGTCAAACATGTCACCTGAGTTCAAAGGTTACAAACTTGGATATGGAACTGTTAGAATTCTTACATGCAAGTCTGGGCAATTACTGAATTTTGGTAAAGTGAACTTTTCAAGATTTTTTTGTCACCTCATGTCTTTAGCATAATATTTTATAATGTTAGCATGAGAATTAACGTTAAATTATTAGGTGACAAAGAGTTATAAGGAGTCGCAGTTCCCCTAACGTTTCTCATTTTGAAATCTTATATAAGGCCGTCTGTCAACAGTTGTCTTCATCCTTATCACATAAAAAGTCTTCATGAGCTAATTAACAAAACCTGGATCAGATATAAAGTGTGGATCATCAGTCCAACTACTTGTTTTGTTTCTAATTTGCCATGGATTGTGATTTTCCTAGGAAAATCACTTATTGTCTATCTTTTTATGTCTGTCTTTCTTCTCACGTGATGCGTCATAGGAGGAGATTGACTAACGTTAAAGATATACAACACATTCCATGTATGTGTTTAATTCAAAATAAGATACTGATGGCTTGGTTCTATTTAGTGACGATTTATATAGGCCAAACCAAACCAAAAAAAAATCCAGTTGATTTGATTTTTTGGCCCATTTGACGTTTTAATGTTCAAAACTAAACCAAATTGTGTACCAATAAATGTGCATTTTAGACGGTTCAACTGGTTTGATGTCCACCCTTAATAACCGCGATGTAATTGATGATTTAATTTAGTCAAAATTTTGAGAAGTTCTTTCCAAGAGATTAAGAAAAAGAAAAGGTGTTCATGGATTTTGAATATAAATCTTGATGATGATTGTTAAAACTGGTTCAATGTGCCAGATCAGGGGTTGGAGCACTAATGCAACCCTAAGAACCAACATCATGTGGGTTTTAGTAAAGTCTTGGTCTTCTATAATTATATCCAACAAAACAAAAGAGAGCAAAGTCTTTTATTTGTTTAAAGCTACTATACGTCATAAATTTTGTAAATCATGTTGCCTTAAAAAAATTATCTAAACAAACTTCCAGTTGCTCAGTTGAGAATGACCGAGATAACGATGTTAGCGATGCGAACGACGACAGTGCAATTGAATATTTAATATTTTGGTAACAATGTTTATAATAGACTAACTTTTTTATTAATATGACTTCGATCTTTACTACTAATGTCAAATTAACGTTGTTAAGATGTCGTTGATATTTGGTTGATATATCTTTGTCCATCCATGTCAATCAACCATATTGCGCATGGAAGAAAAACTTGGGTTGTCTCACCACCTAATCTTTTTATGCATAAGCTATATTTTCTTCCTTTTCGTTGAAGTCATTTTTTTTTGGGTAAAAATTGTAATCACTTTTTCAATGAGTATATATGTCGATCATAGTTGTGTCTCTCTCAAAGAAAAAGAAAAAAAACCTTGTACTAAACATTCACTTTTTGTTTGTTTGTTTGTTTGTGCCAACCAACATTCATTTGTTTAAAGAGTGGTTGAAGAAAATGAAGTATTTATTTTTCACTTACTCTAATCGAATTTAGATTACAAGAAACTATTCATAATCTGATTTTCAGATGAAATAAAAAGGAAAATACCACATGTCATCATATAATTGGAGGAACTATAGAAAAAAAAAATTCCTCCAATTGTGTAATGACACGTGGTGTTTTACCTTACAAGCACATTGAAAAATCTTTCCATGAAAGAGTTGGAAGGCTGTGTATTAATAGAGTGTAGGTCACATGGAAATGAATACCTATTAATACAAGGATAAAGACTGAGGGGGAAATTAGATACAACTCCAACAACCTCAAATAATAAAGAAATTGGATTAAATGCAATTATCCACAAGCAACTAAAACATTTCAGAATATATTACACATATCCAGAAATCCTAGCCATCAAAATAAAAGCAATTCAAATTAAAAATGGCAGACCCAAATTAAGTGTCATCAAATCAAATTCTACCTGCAATCGGAGAAATTTGCAGAGACACAAAAGGCAGACCCGAAAACTGCAGAAAAACAAAAGGCGTTGGTTTTGGTGGGTTTTGGCGGTTAGAACTAAGAAACGCACTGCCAAAAAGAAACATAATCCAGGGAAAACTTGTCGGCTAAGAGTTATTAATTTGTACTAAAAACATATATTGAATTTGTTCACCTCATCTTTCTATATCAACTAACTTCTTTCATATCTTACTTCTTCGAAGAGATCCATCACTCTTGCTGAAGTACATTTACATGCATGGACCCCAAATTAATTTCAACATTGATCTATCAATTTTACAGAAAATTGCTTTCTCTAATTTAGTTTTGTGATATAGAAGCAATATTCTACACTAAAGTTATCTAAAACTGTGAAAATGAGAGTTCGAACTTGAGTGCAGAGAGAAACATTGCTTTAATCAACTTGACTACGTCCAAGTCTACTGTTTCCTTAATTTATTTTAACTGCAATTAAGTAGTCGAGCCCTTCGCATAGCTACCAAAGTTATGACCATGTCCAATCATATAAGCATAGAAGTAGAATATTGGTGCTTTTATTTCGGCATTAGGGTTTCCAACAAATTATATGAAGTTTTATTTCATCGATGCTACCGTAACTTTTCGTTGTCGACACTCTCGACCCTGGTTGAACAATTGTTTGTTCCTAACTTGGCAAAACAAGCCACCTGAAACAATATATTTGGATTATGGCAGTTGTACGTATATGTTCATTTGTTAGGTGGATGCATGGTTACGTCTAAAACGTGCATGCATTGAAATCTTTGTACGTAGATACAGCATTTGCCCTAGCTAATATAACGGTGGATATAAATTTGGATTTATATATTTGGTTTCTTCTCGTGTGGGCATGAACTACATGACATTTACCTAATTAATTAGTTAAAGCTAACCATATATGTGCCAACCTTCCTTTATTTAATAGGTTTTCATCTCTGATCCCTTGATTGACATGCCAAAGTTCTTATGAGCACAATGATCATCATGATTCATCACTATAATTAATAACCACAACATTAAATTTCCATGCATTATGTGGAACGGACTCGAAGCAGTGGCTTTAGTCCTTTGGGTGTGTTATATCCTACCACATTCAAGGAAATTTTTATTTTTAGGTACCCTAGTTGGCCTTATCGAGACATTTTTTTAGTGTGTCAAATTCCTATTTTCACCAATGTGGAATTATTCTCAATAAATACTATGTCGTTGATTAATGAGATATATCATATATGTGAATGTAATTGCTTTCATGCAGTAATGTAAGAAGCGACGTCTCTCTAAATATTTTGCCCTAGACCACACGCAACTTGTGACTCGTATGCTGAAAAAACTTCAATTACAACTTGTTTATCAGTTAATTATGATGATCCGCATGATTAATGTGTAAGTGATTTATTTGTTTTTGTCACATCCCGGTTCAGGGCGGATCACTTTCCGGGCCCGCTCTACTACCGTAGCACGATATTGTCCGCTTTGGGCTTACCATTCCCTCACGGTTTTATTTTTGGGAACTCACGAGCAACTTACCAGTGGGTCACCCATCATGGGATTGCTCTAGCCCCCTTCTCGCTTAACTTCGGAGTTCCTACGGAACCCGAAACTAGTGAGCTCCCAAAAGGCATCGTGCTAGGTAGGGATGGGAATATACATTTAAGGATCACTCCCCTGGGCGATGTGGGATGTCACAATCCACCCCCCTTAGGGGCCTGACGTTCTCGTCGGCACACACGCGACCAGGGTTAGACTCTGATACCAAATTGTCACATCCCGGCCCGGGGGGGACCACTTCCCGGGTCCGCTCCACCACCGTAGCACGATATTGTCCGCTTTGGGCTTACCATTCCCTCACGGTTTTATTTTTGGGAACTCACGAGCAACTTCTCAGTGGGTCACCCATCATGGGATTGCTCTAGCCCTCTTCTCGCTTAACTTCGGAGTTCCTACGGAACCCGAAGCCAGTGAGCTCCCAAAAGGCCTCGTGCTAGGTAGGGATGGAAATATACATTTAAGGATCACTCCCCTAGGCGATGTGGGATGTCACAGTTTTTGTCTGACCTGATAGATTGTGAAATTGCTCAGTACTATTCTATTCTACGTGTGTATATGCATGCATTAATCTCATTGTATATCCAATTTAAATTTTGATTATAAATTGTCTTTTTTCTTATTGTATAATTAAATCAAGTACAAGATGAAAGTAGTACTAAAACTAAAAGTTATAAATAAACCCACATCCAATTATTAAACATTTATTATTGTGTAATCTTTGTTCAAAGTTCTATTATGGCTAAAACCTTAAGGGGGCGTTTGTTGCACCGGACTATCTCGGACTGGATTAGCTTCAAGGACTAAGCTGGACTGGCTTAGACTAGACTAAACTGGACTAACTTAGTGAAGCGTTTGGTGCAGTATTGGACTAAGAAGCTGGATAATAACAAATTCTAATATTATATTATTTAATATATAAATTATTAATATTTTATTATGATCTTATCTTTTTCTTCATCTTTTCCTACCATTTCCGTCCTACTCTTTTCCTCTTCTCTCATTGTCCCAACCTCTCCCTCTTTTTTTCCTCTTAGACCTCTCAATTCATGTCTCTTTCTCATTTCTGGTCAAACTCCTTATTGATTCCAGTCTCTATTTCTCTGTCCTCCCTCTCTCTCTAGCTATACGTTGTTCGAATGGAACCTCACGGCTCCAATTTTCTCGACGAGTTGCAGGTTTCTCGATGTGTTTTCCGGCCAACCCTAGTTAAATTGGATGAAGTTAGCATCGCCAAAAAATTCATCACCATCCCTGGACCGAGATCTTAGCTTTGAATGCTCGAATCTGTCATGGAT